AGTTTGACATCTTGGGAAACCCATTTTTCTCTTTTTTTTTGCCAAGATGAGGAGATCAACACTACTTTCATCTCTGCACACTAAGTATGAAGCTACTGTCAGCAGCTGGATAACTTAGCTTGGTGTGTATCTTGTTTGTTAATCAGTACAGAAGCTTTAATCTTGTCGCCATTAAGTTGCAGGCAGTCTACAGAGACTCCACAAAGGTCCTGCATCTGAGAAATAGTCTGGGACACAATTTTGAATGCACCTGAGGTTTTCAACTAACTGTGACCCAAGAACCACCATTATGACTAAAAAGTAGCCTGAAGACCACTGTTGTGGGGTGGATAGACTGGATGGGCTGTGGGCACTAATTTAATCCTGAAATGTTTCTAAATTTGATGTATTTGTATGAATTTAATCATTCACAGGATTACATAAATGAGATATAACAGGTTAATTGGTAAAATACTGGTCTTGTTACTTTTGACCAGAGCGAGGCTAGTTCTTTCCCCCTCTCTGTGCTAAGCTAAGCTATAAGCTAATCGGCTGCAGGCTATAGCTTCATATTGATTGTACGGATATGCGAGCAGCGTTCACCTTCTCATCTAACTCTGTGCTAGAAAGCATATTTCCCAAAGTGGCAAACCCTGTGTTAAAAAATGTAATTCAGGCATGGAATTTGTTTTCTAATTTGTGCCAATTTTATTTTATCTTGGTTCCCAATGTTCTTCAGTTTCCCTCTGTTATTAGTTTAGATTAGATTAGATTTATTTCAAACATATAACAAATAATAAACAAAAATAAAATTTTAAAAACAACATGATGCAGCTTATACTGTAAACATTCTATTATCTACAGTTTTTTAATGGTATCATTGCAGTTATCACTGGCATGATCTATAATCACAGTCATTGCCCAAGCTGTGCCTTTAAAAGTTTAATACCACATGGAAATTTGGATGTGAAAAAGTAGATTTCAACCAGACACTATCTTAAAAAGATGACATCATCAAGGTCATAGGAGAAAGAAATGATTGCTCTGTGGCCCTTAGCTCTTAGCACTGCTCAACATTCATTCTCCAAATGCTGGCTGCTGACCATTTAGTGGTGATGAAATGATGCATTTTGTCACGTCTCACAAGCAAGTAAAATAAAATAACACATGCCTGGGGGCTTATTGTGAGTCTCTTTATATTCAGAAACTAAAAAAGCCTGATCAAGTTTGTTGTGCCTGTAGTCAACAGTTAATTCAGACAGCACCAAATTCATTTCTCTAACTAACTAACTTTGATCACAGCCTTGTAGACGTCTCACACAGACAGCTGACATGGGTTGGCCTGAAAGAAGCGGTGAACCATTTTACCATCTGAATTATGTGCTCATTATCTGTGTGATGGTTTTGTTCAGACCATCAAACGCATGTGGAAGTTGATGTTTGACAAGAAACCCATGAGCATTTAAGAGCAGATGATTGTAATGTTTCCTTGAAGAACCAGGCGTGATTTAATGGAGCTCTGTTTTAGTATCAGCTGGTGCAGTTATTCTCTAAGCTCATGTTATTGATATCTATTTCACTTGAATTTTTTTTTTCTCACTGTTACAACTGAAATATTCCTGTGCCGAAACATGCACACTAGAGTTCCATGCCTAATAATAATTGGTTTGCTTATTTCTTCCATCCTTGGAGCTGAAGTGGGAGGAGGGATTCAACTGACAAAGACAATAATTGTAATGCACATTGAAAGCTTTTAGAAGCCTTCATTTAAAAAAGTGTAGTTGAGTGTATTAGTCAAATGTCCTTGCATGGATAATGTAACAGCCTATGTAACACTGAGTTAATGTGCAGTATAGCTTAGTACATCATGAAGGCTGTGTGGTTGCTATGGGATACAGATGTTGTCTCCAGGTGCCAAACAGATATTGTTACTGAAGGATCAGGTACAAATGGAGCAGCATTTCAAGCCTGGGATCACATCTGACGAGGCTGACATCTTGATTTGTGCATATTTAGTAGTTAAGGAAGAGATGCATGGCTGACAGTGTTGCTAGGAGACCACACACGGTGATGAGTGTGAGAGGCTTGATTTCACTTCCCTCCCCCATTCTTGTAGTCTGGCTGCCTTTCACTGTTTTTCTTTCCTCTCTTCCTTGCACTTGCCTCCATTTGCTTATTCCCTCCACTCTGATATTCTGTGTCTCAAAATTCCCTTCCATCGGCTTGCCTCCAGTATGTATTTGTATTTATCTTCAGCTCAGTTGATTCCCCGGTGACTCCATATTTATTAACACCCTCCATTTTTCACCGTGCCCCCTCCTGTCTCCCTGCCTGCGCTTTTCCTCCTCTCTGTGTGCATCTCAAGCCGAACGTTTTGCTCCGTCCTTGTACACTGCTTCCCCTCTGCCTCTCTCATCCTGTCTCCCTGTTTGTTTCTCTTGCTAAGCTGCAGCACTGTGTCTGGCTCCAGTACAGTGACTGTAGTTTACCATGTGGCTGTGTGGTTAAGTTATGATACTACACAGTAGTAGGCAGCAAGGGCTGTGGTATTAGGGGGAAACTAAATCAACTGTTTTCAAAATATGCATACAAATAATTTATAAAGTGAGCTGTTAGCGTTTTGTTACATACCTTGATAAAATATGTATTTTGAATATGTTTTCTAGGAATATTGACCTTAGGCTAGGGCCGGGCCAGTGCTGTGATGTGTCCCTCCACTATGCAGCATTACTGTCTCAGTCACAGTGAGGTGCAGCAGCACTATAGGACCTCTTGCTGAGGTGGAAGCTGGAGGGCAGCGGGCTGCAGCACAGTGTTCCAGAAGTGTTTGATTCAGTGGCAGGGAAAGACAAAAATATTTTAAACACAATACTGTAAATATGTGGTCAAAACTAATCCTTTGGCTGCACAGCTTTACACTTCTGATGTTGCTCTTTCTTACACCCAAATGTTCCACATCCAGATTTTGTGTTAATATTGATCTAAATTCCCTGTCATCTGCAACTCACACTCAAATCGGCTACTAAGCATTTGCAATTACTATTTCATACTCTGTGTGTGTGTGCATGTGTGTAGTGTGTGGCGGATTGGAGTGCGTGTGCGATCTGTTTGCTTATGTGTGTGAATGATTACTCTGCAGCACTGCATCCAGATCCAATTAGAATCATGGCTCCTTCTGCTTGTTGGGTCTGATGAGGACTCCTGAGCCTAGATCATGAAACATCTTGCTAAATGCTTTGAATTTAATTGGGATTTGAAGTGACCCTAGGCACTGATCACATCCAACCTACATATATGATTCTAAGGCATGTATTATGTGGGTCTGTAAAATGGATTTCTTGTAGCCCGGTTTGGTCAGTCAAACTTGCCTGATGTAAGATGAAGATCTTCTGGTTCTTGTACATGTAGCTCAGCTAATTGCACTCCAACCCACAGCAAGTAATGTGGCAATTGCAGGGCTGCCTGCTCAGCTGCCAGATCCAAGAAACCAAAATCAAAGCTCCAGTTAACAAAAGCCTGACATACAGTCACAGCTCCCTAACCTAATTATCACTGAGTCAGCACGCACGGCGGCAACAACGGCCGAGACTGTGGTCAGGGCGGTGGGATACAAGAATAGCACTAGCCACGCGGACACACTGGATGACACACTGAGCCATGACAAAAGAATCACACACAGCTACCCTGCTCAACATGGTGCCTGGTGCAGGTGACAGTGCCTGATGTGGATGTTTTGTCTTTATGGTGAAACATGGTTGAGATTTTGTCCCAGTAGTACATATTCTGTGTAGTTTGTGGTAGATCTGTTTTATGTGTTTTTAAATATGTACGGATTTAGAAGAGCTATTACACTGGTAAATGTAAATGTCATGCATTTTTATGGCCTTTTAATGCTGCTTGCATCAATAGTCAAGGGACATATAAAAGCATAATTCAGAGCTCATTATACTGGCCTACATGTGGTTTCATTGAAACATGTTGTGAATGCACAACTGTGATTTTAAACAGTATCAAACCATTTCTCTTATAATAGTTTTATTTAATTAATTGAAAAATTAATTAATTAAAACAATACCAGTAAAATTACTAATAGTATATTACACTGTAAAGTGACCAAAAGTGTCAATGATAATGCTCCAGCATTCACTACCAAAGCATTAAAAATCTGTTTCTGATGGAAAACCACTGGAAACATGCACCAGCTGACAGCTGCACTTTTCTAAGCCAACCGTGTTGTACACTCACATTCTCCAAACACTGTGAAAACACAACAGTGAAAACACTGTTGGGCCCTCAGATATCTGCCCCACAACAAGCCAGACTTCTGATAGGGTGAGAGTGAGCTGTGCATGCGCTACATAGTATGACAAACCATATTACTTTCTGGCCAGCAGACAGGCTTAGCTAGGCCGTCCTAGGGCCTGCAGCCAGAGATGCTCTGCAGCTGAGTTACCATGCTTACTCAAATATTCATAACTGGATAATGAAAGTATAAATAGGTTTCATGTGATACACTAGAGGTTGGGGTAAACAAAACTGCAGCATCCATCATCATGCATCACCGTACCTCTGCTTTAAAAACTGTCAGGTGGAGTAATGGGCAGGGTTGTTCGCTATGACACAGTGACCGTGATAAGGTATGACTGCCCTGAAGTTCTGCCAGTAATTTGAGTTTGATTATTTGGTTTTTATAATGTGTCATCACATCACAAAGCAGTCACTGTCAATCTTGCCAGCTACTAGTAGGCTAGAAAGCTGAAACATGTTTTTTTTTAATAACTAATGAGCTTAAACACTACCCTTGTTGCTTCTTGTTTAGGTGAGTTGTAAGAGGCTGCCTGTGACATACGTCCCCTTCTCCCGAGTCATCTTCTATACCATGAGCTCTGGCTCTGCCCAGGATGTGGCAGTCGAGCATTTCCTGCGTGACATAGAGAGGCAAAGCAAGCGGCTACACTGCGCTGTAATAGGCTGCGAAGAGGAGCGACCCCGCAGCGGCATGAACCCGCTGTATTTTTTTAGCTGGGACTGGAGGCAGAGGGACCAAGAAGGAAGTAAAAAGAGGTGAGTTGATCAGCTTACAGTAGCTTTGCATATATAGAATTGCATTAGGGTTCAGTTCAGTGGCATTCTAAACCTCTTAGCAAAATCTTAATTCCAAGCAGAGTTCATGGAGTCAGAGGGGTTCACCTGAAAAGTCCTGAATAAGAAGCAGTTCATTGTGAACTTAAGATGTTCTGTAGATGAGAAACTATGAAGACATCAGCCAAAATGTCAGAGGGCAAAATGGGGCCAAAAGAAAAAAAGTTGTTGCCACATTTGTCCTAAAACATATAGTAACATATGTGATTATTTAGTTTTTACATGACTTTTACCAAAGACTCTAATCTAATCTAAAGCGTGTTAACTAAGGTTTTACAAATTGTTTGATAAATCAAGTGAAAATGTGACAGGTGTCTTACCACTATCCTGCCTCCCTCCATGACAGGCTGCTACTTACATTGCTTGTGTTGTTTTTCTTTTCTCATCTTTTCTACTGAGTTGTCAATGCAGTGTTGCAGTACTTAAGTCCAGGACTCAGACCCGAGTCTGACTCGAGTCCAGATTTTCACAACTTGTGACTTGACTTGGACTTGAGAACTGATGACCTGAATGTTGGAGACTCAGAGAGACTTGGACTCTGACCTTTTGTTTGGTAATAGACCATAATAATTTGGCATAAGATAAACCTGTTCACCTGCAACATGCTGTATCTGGCACCTTTCCATCAAAGCGTACAGTCCATCTTTCTATAAATGATTTTCATGTATCAAATTGCTGAGCAATATGGTGAGTGTTTGCTAAGATTCTGAAACAGTGGCCGCCAGACCAAAGAGATTGCACTTTTTTGCACAGACCAAGTGTGACAAAGAAAGGGCAAAACCCAGGTTAACATCAGTTAGACTTTTTGATATGCAGAACATTACAAGCAGGCAAATGACTCAAATTTGATTTGAATTTTGCATTCATTATCATTATTATTAGCAGAAACCGAGAGTTTTTTATTAGAATGCCAAATTTGGTCAGCTAATGCTAGCTTCAGACTAGACTCTGTACTTTTTAGTTTGATGCAACCAGGTATTAGTAGTGTACGCTGTCGCTAGGAGGCAGGATCTGATGGAAGGGGCAAAGAGTAGTTAGGAAAAGCTTATGGTGTCAGTTTCTTATGAATCTCACAAGACCCTCCAGCGGCTGAAACAAAATTAGGTAGAGCAGCTTTAAGGTAGAACAAGACCACTTCACACTTAATTCACAGCTATGTACTGTATATCATATGTATCTGGGTCATTCACTCTTTTAAGAGCTTTCCCATGAAGTGACCGTTATTCAAAGCTGAAAGTGGTTGTTATATCACTGAGGACTGAGACAGATAGGCTGTCAAAAAGTACATTTCAACACACACAACCTGTACATACTTGTACTTTATTCTTTGTGAGGACACTCACCAAAATATCTTCTGTTTCCAAAAATGTCCTCACTTTGTAGCAAAAAATACTTTTTTGATCCTCGCTATGTAACAAGTACAAGAACGCAAGCACACACACTCCTATACAGTCCTGTACAGTTTTTGACAGAGAAGTAGTGAATCAGAAAGCCTTAATTGTAACGAGTTTTTATATAACATGTAGCAACAGTAGGAAGTGCAGGCCTTGAACCTCAACCTGTGGTGGAAAGAACATTTGCTCAAGTAATATACAGTATGTAAAGACATTTAGGCTAACCTTTTCTCCCCTACATTTCTCTGACAGCCAGAGTTATTAGTTACTTTTCAAATTAAGATTTTTCATTAAAAAAAACTTTTAGAAAAACAACACAATGTTAAGGATTAGTGTTTGAGGCTGCTTGTTGCACTTCAGATGAGTTATCAGCGCCACCAAATAAAGACCTTGCCTCCAAACCTCTCACATAGTTTTATTTAAATAACACTTTGAGACTCAATAAGATCAAATTATCCAGTATTCAAATGTTAGAGAAATGTTGAAATATAAATGTATCTAGCAGAAGTTTGTGTTCCTCCATTCTGCCTAATTTACAGAGTCATGACCCATCAGATTTACAGTCTGTGTGACTATTTGGAGGAGTTAAATCATGGGAACCACTGTATTACCCAACCTTGACCAGTTACAGCGGTAAAGTGCTGCTCATGCATTTATGCATCAGCGTTAACCAATCTAATAATGTCATACTTAATAATATAACAGTCATGACCACCATTTTTACTTACTTTTTATAATTTGTGTACATTTTGCTTATGTGCATTCACTTAAGTAGAATTTTGAACACATTCACTTGTAATGGAGGATGTTTATATTGTTGTACTAGTATTCTTACTTAAGAATCTGAATACTTCAATCAGCAGCACTGTTTTTGTACACATGACAAGTTGTGCATTCAGGGCTCTAGTTTCTCCACCATTACAAGAGCTGATGACGTATCAGATCCTGCTCCTTTCTTTGAACTTCATCCAGCACAAATGAAAAGTAATTATAATAATTAACAACACAGACTAAGTGCTGGTGTTGTCATTAATACTAATAATGATGATAATGATAATTACATTTTGTATAAACATCTTTATGTGAATCAGGGACCAAATGAAATCTAATTTATAACCTCTGCATTCTACACAGATATGCTGAAAGACACCCACAAATGAGAACCAACAAAAGTAATAACGGTAGAACTAACTGAAGCATTCTATAAAACAGTTATAAACAACGTAACATCATCACAGTCTGAGTCACAGTTGAGATCATGACAGGAGGTGTTTGATCTTATGTATGTCACCTATAATTCACTAAATTCTGTGTTGCATATGGGGCTACATTTGTGCCACAGAGAAGGGGGAGAATATCATAAGCAATGGTTCAGCTTGTTTAGAAGTGTGGTCCAGTGCTTTCTGACTCGCAGCAGTAATTGGAGGCCTTTGTGTCGGCAGCAGAGATCAACGTCATGGCAGCATCAAGCCAGCGGAGGTGTAGGGCAGCAAGTAGGACAGCGGGACATGATGAGTGATGAAAGCAGAGCCGAGCAGGGCCAGAGCAGCAGAGGTGAGAAGCAGGACATGACCGGTGATGATTACGAACAGAGGAGGGTCAGGGATGAAGCCGCACAGGGCAGGACCAGTGATGACTGCAGAGCCAGCGGGAGTGAGGAAAAGGTGGTGTGGAGAGAAGGACTGGTGGAGGGGGCAAAGGAAGCATTATGAAGGAGACCAGTAGACAGTCTGAGTTCTCGTGGCCCTCAGGGGAGAAGTCACATTCATGATGTGCATGTGCCGTGCAGATACAGAATGGTAAATAGGTGAGTTTCATTATGAGTTATAAAAATAGACACAGTTTCTTATGGCATTAATACAGGCAGACAGGCAATTCCCAGTGGTGGTGACTAGTGGAGGAAAACCTTGCTGCCAGCTGAGGTTTTATTCTTGCGCAGAATTATAAGACCAGTCTGACACTTTGACTGTGTATGCAGATATCTAGAAGACAACAAAGCCTTGGAAATCCCTTTTAATTTAACATGAGTGTTAGAGAAAGACACTGCAGTGTCTCTTAGCATTCAAACATGTCCTAATCTTTATGTTTTCCCTTACAAAACTCACACACTCCGTCCTTTCCCCCAAATACATTTTATGACTTCACTTCACTGCTGAAATCTAAAAGAACTCTTAAATGCTGAGCAGACTACAGGTTATTTCTTCAAAACTTCCCTGCTTGGCCTTGCACTTGTTTACTTATGGAGAACCCAGAGACTTAGAAACACTGTATAACCATTTATATTTGCACCCTGAAGCTTTTAAAGATTACAAAAATGATTCATTCAGACCAAAAATAAGACCTGAGTTCATGGTAAACATACAGTGTAACCAACTGGAAGATGCAGACTGGGGGAAAATTCCTTTTTTACATTACTTTTTAAATTTGTACTAATAAACTGATTAATGGAATCTGCCCTTTATTTACCTTCAGTTATTTATAAAATGATTTTTCTATTTAGCCACAATTTATATTGTAAAATACATTTGCAATTTAAATACCGGTACTGTATATATATTGACAATATCTTCTTTGTTTTATTCATCCACTGGTGAACAGAATATTAATTGCTGCTGTATATTGCTTAATGGCACATGTCTTTTACTCTCTGTACATTTGATTCTGCTACCTCTCTCAGAATGTTAGTTACTCATGCTGAGCTCACATTATGTGGCTAGAAATGAGATTATGTTAAAATGGTTAGATAAATATGGTTGATGAATACTGATCTATTGTTGTTGTTGTTAATTATGAGAGATTGCATTTCTCTTTATTTCCTTTAGTGACACTGAGTAAATGTAAATTCAGATCTGAACTAAGATTAATCCAGCTGTATCAAATCGCTGACCTGAATCCACCTGAATCCTGAATCACTATTGAATCATAAACTACAGTACATTGAAATAAACAGAGAATTCGTCTAAGATTCACACTCTTGTTATGTCCCTTTTGTGCACACATAAAGAACTAGACACACTTTGCGCATACCCTGGGGCATATGCAGACACAGACAAGGGACACGCACGTGTTCCTATTCATGAGAAGGTCTGGCTTCTGTCCGCATATGCTGACATTTTCCAAGCACAGTGATACATGCATAGTCGGAGATGTTGCTGTTTGGACCATCCTCACAGACACAAACGTTTGGCCGGCACATGGACATCTGCTCAGAGTCCACACACACCCTCACGGACCAGGGAAGATGATGAAAATTACATCACTCGACCATAGAAGACATGAAGCTCAAAGCATGAAAAGCCCTTTAAACCCACAGAAGACAGGCATTTGTTCTGTAACTCTTAACTACCCTTAACATCCTACTCACTGAATGGTTCAAAGCATTTCCAGATCTTTGAAGCTTGATCTGGATGATCTGACCTCCTTCATTTTTGTTATGAATCCAACTTATTGCAGCTATAAATGTTAGTGTGTTTCTCATCATATCAGCTTGGCCTCATGAACAGAGAACACAGTCCTCGTCATATAAATAAACAAACGAATAAACAACCACAAAAAACAAAACAACTAAAGTTAAGGCCAATGTCTAAAATAATTCTTGCGTTGCAGACAGACAAGGTGAACAGAATATTAATCTTGTTGTGGTCTTATATTTGTGGTTTATTGTTGAGATGAAGTCATAAAAGGACATTTTATTTAGCTTGTTAGATGCTTTGGGGATACCTAGGTCAATGCTGGCAAACAATACTACAACAACACTATTAGAAAAATCAGTACACAAAGCTTAAGTTTTATTATGGTGAGTCAAACCACCAGGCAGTTTCACCTTTTATGTAATTTTCTTCTGGTGACAGACAAAAAATCTGATTAGTTTAAAATCATACTATAGTCAACCCATAACTTAAGGCAGTCAATTAAATTGTTGTGTATTGTGTCACATATGTCACTAAGGTCCAATAAAATGAGGACAGCTACACACTCAATGTCAGCTGCTCAACCTTAACTCATTTGAAACTTTAACAAGAGACAACTTAACTGCTCTGATTTGCCCTCAAACCAGATTGGATGTTCTCAAAGATAATATTTTCAGAGATTATCTCATTCAGCTGTTTAAACATAACCCATTCTTAAACTTTGCCCCCAAAAGGTAATTTAGAAATAGGGCAGTAGATGCTAGGGGCAGAATTATCTAAACTAGATTTTTTTTTAGCAAAAGCTTTATCGCTGTAGCCTTAAAAGCATCTGGGAATATCTTGTGCTCTGAGGAGGGGGTAGTCTATTCAAAGATAAGTCTACCAAAGGTTACAGAGGAGCAGTGGATAACCTTATTTGATTTGTTTGGCAAGACCAATGATGTATTTTTCTCCCCACTTCTTTCTCCTGCTTATTGGGATGACTATATAATCTTAATCTACTGACAGTCATGTGAATTTCAAGATTAACAATGACAGAAAATTGTATTACAGCAAGGACAGTGCAGCGGGCTCAAGTCCCGGCCGACCCAGGACCTTTATGTATGGAGTTTGCATGTTCTCCCTGTGCCTACGTGAGTTCTCTTCGGCTACTCCGGCTTCCTCCCACAGTTCAAAAACATGCAGCTTAGGTTGAGTAGTGACTCTAAATTGCCCCTAGGAGTGTGTGTGGGTGGATGTTAGTCTACATGTCTTGATTGCCCGGCAGCCTGTCCAGGGTGGACCCCACCTCTTACCCAATGTCAGCTGGGATTGGCTTCAGCCCCCCCGCAACCCTGTTCAGGAATAAGCGGTATAGATAATTGATGGAGAGATGGATGGATGGATTACACCATAAAGATTTGCACTTGAGCTTACTGTTATATATATATATATATATATATGTAAAGTGAAAATGTTTTGTGGACTATGGATAAATTGTTTTGGAAGAGCACACAGCACTTTACATGGTGTAAAAAGGTCACTACGACATGGAAATGGCAGCCCAGTGGCGAAGCACAGTGAAGGGAGCTGCTTTTCATATGTTACATATGGGACTATTTGTTGGTCAGGAGCAGTGATTCCCAGAGTCTTGCTGTCACAGTGAGGTTACCAGGACTCCTGGTAATCGCTACAACTGGCAAAGAAATATCCCCACACATAATCACCTGAAAACCAGTTTTTCTTTTCAAAAAATGTGAAACAGTGTTTTCATTTATAGCTTTAGAGGTGGTGGTAGGTGGATTTTGTTGCCTTCATAACAACAGGCTAACAGTTTTCTCCTACTTTGTCTTTATGCTAAGCTAAGCTAACAGAACGCTGGCACTACTTTGATATTAAGCAGACAGAAAGCCAATAAATATATTTTGCACAATGTTAAATTTCTGCTTTAAGTATTAGTTAATATGGGTTAAATAGGTGAAGGGCGAGGGTCCAGATTTTTGAACAACTTGAGTCTCAGTTTGGAGATGTTCAGAGCTTCTTCTGCCCTAAAGAAAATAAAAACAGTCCTCTCCAAGCTACTAGAAGGAGCTGCTCAGCCTCCATTCTGGGCTAAATTTGGCCCTGTAGTATCTGTGTCGATGGTGAGGAGTCTCAAGTACATCTCCACAGGCATTCAAGGGCACAAACATACCCATACAGATGCAAGCACAGTCTGTGGCTGCGCCACAAACACAAGCACAGACACTCGCTACCTCACGTGTGAGGAAGAAAAGAGGAGCCTCTGTGTTCTCCATGATGAGCAGCCCTAGTGCAGCTTCTACTGCAGTGTTGCAATGTTGACTACAAATTATAAGCTCCAGTTGTCGTCTTCTGTGCTTCAGTCTCAACAGGAGCACAGCTGATCTAAAAGGGAGTGCTGCATGATCTTTATGATCATTTTACTCGTTTTGATGGTACTTCCACCACAGATGTGAATGCTTTTTTCCCGTCTCCCCCTGACATTTTGTGTAAGTACAGTAAGTTCACAGTTCCCTTGTTCATATAAAAAGTCTGTTGTACAGGGAGAGTAAGTCAACCTTGTTCGATCCAAGTTGGCTTAAAGGCCAGGGACTTATCTTGTGTTGCTGTGGGTTAAAGCAGTGCAACACCCCCTGGATAAGACGCATCATAAGGCACACCATTGCAGTACCTATAACTCAAAAAAGCAGAAGCAAGGCAAGCAGAGGGTTAACAGAAGCCATTTTGTAAGTCTATGGTGAACTTAGCAGGGCGGTTTTATGCCATCAACTTGAACGTCTGACATTAAGGTTGAACTGTGCTCAGCTTCGAGTCACCAACTTAGCACATTTGAATTGATTTTGATTTACTGTTAATAATAATTTAAAATAATGAATAATAATAATAATCAATTTTAATAAATTATGGTCTGCAGTTCTTGAATCTAGGGTTTTATCATTTCTAGACCCCCTAAAGACCCTTTAAAACGCATTATTCAAATAATGTTTTTCCTCTAAACAAGACCATAGAGTTTTGTCCACATAGACATCCAGATCCAATGAGAAAAAGGATATATAGTGGTCTTCCATGCAGCAGCAGTGGAATTTCAACTGTTGTTTGATTTTGGTAAATCATTGCGATATGCTGTCAAATTTTTCTTTTTGTCAGTTTTATTTATTGTTGTGGGAGCTCATATATCAATGACATGAAAATCGCAGCTGTTCCCATGGTAACAGATTAAATGCTTCTGGCTACTGTGAGAACCGGCTACAGATGTGGGTGGAGGATATAGAGAACAAGGGAATTCCGGCAGCACAGTGTACATAAAGTGTACTTTTGACAAATGAATTTATTTCCTAATTGAATATGTTTGAAGAGGAACCATATGTGGAGTAATTCTGATTAAAAGATTGGTGAATGTAAAAGAGGGAGGAGCCTCTAGGGCTTTTCATTTTGCAGCAAAAACCCTACAGGCATTTCTTTATTGAAAAACTGATGTTTGAAGACCAAAGAGAGAGGTGGTCAGTACATGAATGTTTTTCTTTTCACCATGATTTCTATATGCTCCATTATTTTTCTTCCATACACACCTTCCCAATCCCATTCCCAAATTGCAGCTCCACCAATAATGACCCCTCAGCTACTGTTGGCAAAGTCCGAGATTTGGCTTCTTTCCGCCGACACTTCCGGATGGGTTTCATGACCATGCCGGCCTCCCAGGACCTGTCCCCTCACTCCTGTGCCTCTGCCATGGCGCCACGCTCACAGTCTTGCCATGCTGTTGGTGCCGGAGATACGAGCCTAGAGAATGGAGATTACTCTGACACCCAGTCCCAACACGGTGGCCGCTGCCCACCAGCCAAACCCAAACGCCATCCCAGCACTCGCCTCAGCTCCTCATCCGCTGACAGCAGAGGACCTCCTGAGACACCACCACCTCCTCCACCCACTCATTCACAGGCCAAACACTCAGACAAGAAAAATGGTAAGAGATTTGTGTTCAGGTACTTATTCTACTGAGAAAATGATCTGACCTTCATTATTTTCCTTGTATAGTGATGAAAAAGTCTGACTCTGGAGAGATTGGAGCAAAGAAGGTGCCTCCTTTGAAGCCCAAAAGAAGCCCCAGCACCCAGCTTTCCTTTGACCCTTTTCCTCCACGTGTGCCTCCTTCTGCCACATCCCTGCCTTTCCAGGCCACAGACTCTCAGATTCAGACAGGAGATGGGGAGGATGAGCCAGTCTATATAGAGATGGTGGGCCAGGTGTTCACCAGAGACAGCCAGACGGCCACCCCCCACCCTGTCACCCCTGTGGCTACCACACCAGATTCTGACTCAGATCAGAGTGAGGCAATCTATGAGGAGATGAAATACCCGCTGCAAGAGGACAGAGAGTCCCAGAGACACTTCCTTCCCAAACATGAGAAACTGAAATCCTCTAAACACTTCCATGTCACTCCCTCCTCCTCCTCCAGCAGCTCTTCTTCTTTGCCGCGGCCCTCCTCTTCCTCTCCTTCGTACTCCAAACCCAAAGCTACCGTGTCAATTTCTCATTCGTCTCCTCTGCCTTCCTCTGCATCCTCCACCCCTGTTCCCCAGGTCCTCTCCTCCAGTCCACACACCCCACGTGCCCCTACTCCCTACCTGCTGCAAGGGAGTAAATCCGAGGTTGAGGGAAACACAAAGATTCCAGCTCCTTTCCCCAATCTTCTACAGCACCGGCCCCCACTGCTTGCCTTTCCCCAGCCCGCAGCGGCCTCCAGCGGGGTTGGAGTCCAAAACAAGGGGTCTGCTTCTGTTAAAATGGGAACTCAAACATCCAGTGTGACGACTCAAGTCAGCACCTCCTCCTCAACTTCTTCTAATGTTCCTGTGTGTCTGTCAGGCTCAAAGGAGTCATCAGGAGGAAGCACAACCCAACAGGACAAACACAGCAGAGAGACACAGCTTGGTCCTGCTCCTGGACTTAGAGCCAGGAGTCACTCCACGCCCCTGCCTCCATCCTCCAAATCCACCTCTCCTTTCTCCCATCACCACCACCACCCACACCATCGCCCCTCACATTACCATCACTATCGTAAGCCTGAGAGAGGAGACTCCCCTGCTCCAACCAAGAGCCCTTCAAACCAGGCCACAGTCCAGACACAAACCTCAAGTACAAGCAAGGAAGGCAAGTCAGTTAGCTTCCTCTTGAAGTCTGATAAAGGAGAGAGGGAGAAGGATAGGGACAGGGACAAGGACAGGGAAAGGGAGCGAGAAAGAGAGAGGGATGGAGGTAGAGACAGAGACAAGGAGAAAGACAAGGACAGAGAAAGAGACCGGGACAGAGATAGAGACAAGGAGAGGGACAGAGAAAGAGACAGAGAAAGGGATAGGGACGGAGGGCCGCACTCCTTACAGATGGATACTCCCACAAGCAGCCAAACATCTCAAGGCAGCACCAGCTCAACCCCTACGCCGTTATCTTCATCTCAGCGTCCTCATTCACGCCCACATCTCCGCTCTCACACTCCTCATGGCCTACCAGCATACAAGCCTCCCTCTTCAGACAGCCCCCTGCTGTGGACCTACCCCTCTGGTGGCTTCCGGAGACCGCCAGCTTATGAGAGTTTGAGAGGAAGCTCTCAGACGCCTTCACTGCAACAGCCCTCAAGTCTTACCGGTGTAGGTGAGGGGGCATCCAAGAGTAATGGAGGATCTACATCCCTCCAGTCAAAAGTTGGGTTCATGCCCTGGGACAGCAGTGCCAGTTTATTTGCAGATGAGGTGTCTTACTGGCCTATGCAGAGAAAACTGTCCTTCAGCCATGGGAGCAGAGAGACAGAGAGTAAGTCAGAGGTCATTTTGAATACAGCAGCTGTATTTAAAAAAACATACAGTTTTAACTTTTTGAAATAAGCATTCTGTTCCTTCCCTGTTTCAGAGGATGAAGGGCGTGTGTGGAATGGCAGTGCTGATGCCCTATTAAGGGTGGATAAAGAGGAGCTAGGGGTGGGGTCTCGAGGCGGACACTCAGGCATCCCGGTCTATTTCAGTGGTGCCACCAGCAGAGCCCTTGGTCACAGTGAGTCCTTGGCCGGTGTGGATAGCAGCCCAGGATTCAGAGCCCTACCCAGAGTAGGGCTACCTCTTCCCTGCCAGACTTTTCCTGCCTGTCGAAATGGAGGTAGGCAAATACTTCATAAGCTAGCCCATAATCAGTTTCTACCCACAACATCCCATTTAGAAAGGAACTGTATCAGTGGATTTAAATGAGAATTTTTCTCCTGGCCTTGCGGTGCTGTGATGCTCTTAAACTTGGACAGTTTCTTAGTTTTTGCCATTGGCTGACATCAACTTCAAACCCACAGAGTTTAGGAAAAGAAAGGTAACTATCAGAGACTATGTTCTCTCCTCCCCTCCAACTGTCACAAAAGGCCATCAGTTCTTCTTCCCATACATCCTCCTGTTCTAAACTTAGCCTTGATCCTCTATCTCTTGGTCAGACTGCTTCTGCTCTCAACTCCTTTCTCTAGAGACAGAGAGACAACATTTACCTTGAGTATCAGTGCAATATGTTTCTTGAAGCCGAGCCAGTAAAAGAAGTGCTTTATAAACACACACATTCATGAGCTCTGGTCCCATTTGATACTGTTTACAGTATACACTGTGACAAACCAGGTCTTTAAATAACTTCAGAACTGAATTAAATGTAGTTACATGAGCTCAGTACCCACACAGACTCTGTGCAATTTATACTACAGATAAGCCTTTAACCAAAGTGATATCACAGGAACATTTTAAGCAGTCAGAGAGTGCCATCAATGCTGAACAGCTAAACTGCAGTTTTACGTAATTATATTACTTTTGTCACTTCAGTGGTAGACTTTTAAACTGAGTCTTTTATCATATTCTGATTTAGTCTGGATAGACAGTAATTGCTGAAAAGTGGAGATAGCAGATTAGGATCACCAACAAAATTAAATGATGAGTTCCTATCCAATAAACTGAATTGAAAACAATTTGCAAGGTAATGTAAGTCAAACATAGCCAGGGTGAAACAGAATGATACAAGCATACTTGCATTAATAAAAATGTGTTGCTTTATGGCCCATGCTTCACAAGTATAAGGGTACTTAATAAGAGTCTTGTAGCTTAAAATAAAATGTGAGTACACAGTGCACAGAAGCTCTGTCTGAACTCACATGAGTGCAGTTAGATAATCACAGCTCTGTGTGTTAAAATTAAAAGTTATATTCCAGCATTCTCATTAGCAGGCACGCGGTGTAATATTTGTTTCTTCACAGAAGTGGGGCGGCTGGGCCGCTCCTCCTCTGCTGCTGGAGTGAGACAGGTGGATGGAGGAGACGTCCAGAGACAGAGCAGTCTACCAGCACGAGACGCCCTGAATCAGGTGAAAGTACAGTCTAGTACCCAGCCTTATACCTATAGGCTCTATTAACATCATTCATAGCAGATTTTGGAGTGAACATTAATATTGTTCTCATTATTACTTCCTCTCCTGCTAGAGACAGTGCTCCTGCAGACCTATTTATAGCTGGTAGATATGTCCACTGAGCAGAATAAGGCTCTGGCCTGCCCTAAAAGGTACATGACGTAGGCTAATATGTAATCACTAAAAGAGAGAGGAGAGAGAATGGGGGAACATGCTGTACTGTGCTTTGGAAAGATAAGCTGCAGTTTTCTAGCAGCTCATTTTGCCCAGATTCTGGCTGCATAGCAAGTGCTGACGCAGTTCCAGTGTGCTGCAGAGACAGTCTGCATGCTCTGGTTGACCCTCCCTCAACCTGTAATAGATGAAACAGCGCTGCATCCTGGTGGCTGTCCAGAGGAACTGTAGTTTTTACCGTCATGTTAGGATTGGCTGTCGGCTATTTACAACACTACAGTGATCTTTCTGGTTATTTAGAGATTTAAATAGTCTAATCGGCTTGACTTTTTGCATTGTGTTCAGCTGCATGGTCTGACCCAGCCTCAAGTGTCAGCTCCAGTTAAAGCAGCAGCTCCAGCAGCTTCAGCAACAGCACCACCTGCAGTTGCAGTTCCAGCAGCTTGCCCAGCTGGCACAGGGACAGTCTCCTGTCAGCGGAGGCACTACCCCATCCACAATGCAGACCCAGAGAGACGGCAAGCTGCTGGAAGTCATCGAGCGTAAACGCTGCCTGTGCAAAGAGATCAAGGCCCACAGGCGCCCTGACAAAAGCCTGTGCAAGCAGGACAGCATGCCCATCCTCCCTAGCTGGAGACGGACACCTGAGCCTCGTAAGACTGGCACGCCACCCTGCCAGAGGCCGCAGGCCGTTGTGTGGGACACGGCTATCTGAGGTGGAAAGACAGGCCAGCAAGTAAACACACAAAGGGGTAGGGATGATTTAACAATTAATAAGAGGGGCTCTGGAAAAATCTTGAAATGGTTTGTGGTGAGCTAATCACCGATGAGGAACAAAAGACTGTTGATAAAGAAGAAGAAATTTGCTTAGCACTCAAATTGTGTGACAAACTGATCTGAGGACAGTAATCAAGGCTACCAGAGAATGAACTCTTTAGAAGTGAAGAAAAAGAATTATTACAATCAGACTAAATAAATTTCTTACCCAGTTGATTTGTACTTGCTCTGTATGCTGTACTAAGTTGATGTGTTGTAATTGCCAATGACCTTTGCCACAAAACACCATTACTAAGATGAAGACCCCAACTAACCAATAATGGGTGGGATGTTTTCTGAGACCGGTGTTGCCAAATTTCCTCCTGACTACTTGAGACATAAGAATCATGTATTTTCTCCAACACACATAGAAACTACATTGTGGATGCGAAAAGGCAAGACTCATTGATAAGTTAGTAAAGTGTTTCTTGAAAATCGTGAATGCATATGAGATGTCTTGGTATCAATAGATTGTCATTGTGGATGCAAATAATCGCTGAGGAGTAAAAGCTACCTACTGTATCTGTTTGCCTATTTGTAATGTAAATCAATTTACTTTGTCAATGTTTCTGCAATTTTATAGCAATATGCTCCTGATGCTGGAGTAACATAATGAAAAACTTGTGTCAACTAGCCTATCATACATATCTAAGACTTGAATAAGTCATATTTACTGTGTCATTCTCTGCATGTCACAATAGACATACAGTACTGTAAAAAAAGTGTAAAGATGATCATGTCATACTTTTACATATAAAAGATCTTCACTATGACAATATCATGTGGTTATATAAAAAAGATGAATATGTTGCTTGGGGTATCATTAAAAAGGTGGTGTGACAGATGACACATAGTGTGCAGTCCAGTCAAATATACTGTAGATTCAGATCAGTGGTTCAAAAACATCATCATTCATGCTTTTACCCACAGTTGCACATTAGTGATTGTTCCTCCACACAGAAAAACACCCACTGACACCCATCAACACAGACTGTACAATATGGTGCAACTGATAAGACTGTGAGAATTGATCACCTCAAACAGAATGCTGGAACAATCTGCACAAAACATGGTATATGCTTAGAGGAAATTAAACCCTAATGTAGTGTAAATAGATATGTACAACTGTATTGAAAATGTAGCAATTATTTCCATTTTCATACTTGTAATCAATACATATTATGTAGCATATACTGTATAAACATAACTTTGTTCACTAGTTTTTCTAAAAGAATTAAGTATTTTATCTGCTGCAGTTCATGCATTACTTATAGTTCTACTAATAAATAATGAGCCCTCTAAAGAAAGGCACTGTCCAACAGTTATTTAAATTTATGCAAGATTCCCTTTAAGCTGTGTTAATATTGTTTTATTGGTCTTTTTTTCTACATTCATTTTTATTTGTGTACAGATTTCAACAACTGGTTTTGAATACTTTGCTGCTACCTTGAACTACAGGTGTTGTTCATTGAACTACATGGTGATACCATGGGAAACATTATTAATATGGTGATTATTGTTACATATTTGTTTTGTTTCTGAAATCCACATGAATCGAAGTTTGTAACTTGAAGAGTGAGCCCTTCTGTAACAGTATTAAGGCACTTGAATGTCTCCTGGTTGTTGTTGTTTTATGATAGCTAGCACAAAACTGTACATTACTGTACTCCCAGTGAAAAGGCGACCTATCTACATGTTTGAGAGTCACTGCTTGGCCTTTTGTTTTAGCTCCACCTGCTCGTGTTTGAGGACTGAGGCTTTTTGAGTTTACTGAGTCTCTTTTCAGAAGAATCACAGGTCAGGTTGAAGGAAATGGGCAAGTGCAATGCATGCAGAGATTCCTCACATTGAAGATGTTCCAGTGATACCGACTATTGTGCCCAGTTTAATTTCAGATACCAAGTAATGACCTTACTATGATTCCTTTTCACAGACTGATGTGGAAACCTAGATACCATTTTCAGAATAGTTTACAGAAGGTGTTGGTTTTGTGTGTCTACTAAAACAGTGGCCATTATATGAGTGCCATACTATATTGATATGGTAAGAAACGGTGTACCTTGGAAATCACTGTAGTGCTATATTTGCATTGATATTGTCATTAAAATAAATTTTATATAATGAAGTTTACACAACAAACAGAATGTTTGCATGTTCTCGTGCCTCGTCTTGTTTTATGGTGGAGATGCTGTCAAAGTGGACATAATGTCCCCACTGCACGTCTGCAGCAAGTGTTGCAACACCCACATTTTCCAGGTGAGGGCGCTACTTTCACTCTCTACTGCTGCTGGTATGACTTGGCTTCAGTATATAGCACACGAAGACTTGGATACTGATTCAGATGATTCCGTCAGGTCTAAAACCACCTCGGTAGTTTGAATTGATATTGGGAACCTTTGTAGGATTACAATGGTAGCAAGGGATCAGCCAACCGGAAGTTCCAATTTGTCCTACACCTAGTGGTACCTCAATATGTTGCCACTGCTAAAATGTCATTCGGGTCAGATGAAGCAGATATGCAGCTAGTTTTACAATTTTCCAAATGAGTTATAGTGTAAAATCCACCATCTTCTAATCGGTTAAGTTATTATCTAAAGGGTCTCATTTGATAAACATTTCTGTCATCAGCAGGCATCTATGACATCTGGACCTTGGAAAACTTAACCATGATCTAAATTAATAGCGTCCCTGAGATTATAATAGTAGTTTTTATTGAATAACAGACAATTTATAGTCCTATAGAAATATCAGAGAGATAGATTGTTGGTTTTAGCATGGGGACATGACTATAAGAGCTTGGGAGATTATAACGTGTTGCCCTGAGCCACCACGCGATTCGCTTTGCCGGTTGTCGTTCATACCGTGACCGTGAGGAAGAAGGACGCGGTGTAGATGATTGGCCAGGCTAGAGGAGGAGGTGGGGACCACCTTCGGGGGGTCTGGGAGGGCGGGGGTGCCTGTGGAGAGAGGCGGAGGGAGTGCTTTACCGCAGTATCACTAGATTTCTGCACCACTCATCAAAACTCTGCGGCATGCAGACAAGAGCCGGGGGGGAGGGCAGTTCCTAGGTCTGTGCTCAGTGTAGGACCAGTGCGTTTTTCCCGTTGCTAAATCGGTTACTTCAAACTCCATTCTTTTGTACGTTTTAAGTTCAAGTATACCTCTTTAATTGCCTCTCTTCTTCCTATAGACGCGCTACTACATAAGGGCTCTCTCTGTCCTTCTCCGGTGTGTGGCCCATTGTTTCAACCCGGCGCCCATTGCATTACAGTGCTTTTATTAGAGCTCCGAACTTTGGTGACAAAATGGCAAAGGCTGGGGAAAAAGGCGGCTGGAAGGAGTTTGTATGGAACCCGAGGACCAGGGAGTTTCTGGGCAGGACGGCGAGCAGCTGGGGTAAGTACTATCCAGCTACAGCAATGCAGCAAACATGGTCCCTAGGCTTTAAGCCTTTCCTCAAGGAATCAGACGTCCTCAGAAACCATTATGTATAGGTATGATATAAATTGTGCCCCGACGTAATGTGTTTTGTGTTGATTATATTCCCTGGATGTTCAGATAATGAGATGGCTGTCGCTGTCCATAGTCTGATGCTGAAATGTGAATGCGGCAGCGCTCCTGTGGAAGCCGGCAGAAAAAAGCAGCCATCCTGCCTGCTTTCCTTCATTATTTATTAATTGGTGCTTTCCCTGCGCAGTGCGCTCGACATAGGGGTGGCGACATATGGTCTTATTCTGGATATGAAATCGACACATTAAGGCTCCATTGCTGAAACAGGTTCCAGTCTGTTGCAAAGCGCAGCTCCTCTCTGTGGAGCGCGTCAGACGGGCGAACTTTAACGAGCCTTCTGCTGCTTTCTAGGGAGATGGTTCTCTGAAGTTAAGTACAATTCGGCTTGTCTGGCTATAGCTTTATCCAGTGAGTGTTCATCACATCGTTCATTTTCAAAATCGGGTTGGATTTTAAAGATGCAGCATTGCCGTACAATAGATACTGTGCGCCTTCCTGCAGTGCAGCCAGTCGGTGGCCATTTAAAAGATAAATGAAATGCGAGGGCTCTGTTCTAATGACACTGGAGCATTTTAATCTGGGTAAAGCTGAGGGCCAAATGCTATTTGTGTTACCTCCAACCCAGCCCCTCCCACCCTGTGTAAATCACTGAGGGATATAATCCTAATCTAATGTGTTCACCATCTGATGGGGGAAGGTTTCAGTTCAGGATGTTCTAACGATGTAAAGCACATTCAGGAATTTAGATTAGTTCTGATCTTTTCTCTGGGGACATCACCTCAATGACAATGCTGAAGTTTAGTATCTGTGTTTGCAATGATGCTGAAGTTGTTTTACTTGCAAAGCGTTCTGGTGATTGTTTTCCATGAATGAACACTGTGTTATTAGTGTAGAGTTTTCAGTCACTGACTGTGGCTTCCTTTTACTGGAGTCCTCCCACAGCGTACAACTTAATCCAGCTCAGTGCGTCCCAGGCACTTTGAGGTTTGGTGGCCTTTTTAAGATGTGCTCTCTCAGGCTTGTTAATTAGACTATTTCTGTAGTTAGCCATTACATGTAGGTCTGCTAAACTTGGCATATCGCCTTCGCACTTCCTTTCCATCGATGCATACACTGTATATTCAGTACTTACACTTTTTGACTGTGTGGCTTTGTCTGCAGTCCATCCATTTTCTAAACCCATTTATCTCAACATGCACCAAGAACGCAGCAAGCAAACCCCCTAGTCAGGTTTCCCATCCCTTTAATATACCAATCACACTTGTTTTTAAGCAGCAGAATATACATTCAGAGCATTTGATCAAAGGCACGTTCAAGGAGGAAACACAGTACACTTTTTTGTGTCTTGCTTTGTGTAAAAAACTATGAAAATAACCTTGATAAAGCAGAATAGTCCTGCAATTGTGAAGTTACATTGCCACCAGCTGACAGGCAAACATGGTCAAATAACTGCTTCTATTTAAAATAGGACTAATTAACTGTTCTGTACCTCCCACTTCCATAAACAACAAAAGGCTCCAGCATGTGAAAAGAACCTTAAAAGGCCAAAAGGGAACACAATCATGCTGCAGTTCATTCTGTAAGATTGCACACTGTATGCAAGATAATAATTAGTTTGACAGAAGATGTGCAGCTCAACGCTATAGCCATTCTCTTTCCAGACCTTTTCATTTTTAGTTCAGAGGTCTGTTTGATACCAGTTTACAAAGCATGTCCTCCTAATTAATTCTAAATGAAAAGAGACACCTCCCGTCATTATCGCTGAAGAAAGAACAGGATGCTGAACCATGGCGCCCTGTCCTTTTGTTCTTTGCTTTCAACTGTCATCTGTGAGCAGAGCCAGGGTGTAAGGGAGACACTTCACTGTCCATCATCAGAAAGCATTGAGAGAGCAGACTGTGAACCTAGGGGGAAAGCCACCCTGCACACTCGACCCTTCACGCACGTGTCCACCCAGTGTCCCCTGGGTGGTGTCATATTTGTAGTTAATATAAGATCCCCTCTGGATGACAGAGAAAAACACGTAAACACTTTGTACAGCCACATGCCAGCTCTGATGCTTTTCTCGCTGTAGTGCCTCTGGCTCAGTCCAGGGCCTGGAGCCTGATCTGTATATATTTAATGACTCAGCTTGGGTCTTTTCCATGCTAAAGGTGGCATCCAGACTGAAATCGTACTCAGTCATTTACTCCTTTCACCTCAGATTCCAGTAATTCAAGGAACAATTGGATGGAACACATACACACACTAGCTCAAATTCATCCAGTTGGCACTCTATGAATTCCCCCCATGGAGTGGCTCATGTTTGACATTTTGCGCTGGACTCTAAGCTTGGCTGTGTGGGGAGGCAGATGCCATGTTGGCCCTGCTGACAAAGCCAGTGAGCTTCATGCTGGGGGCTCTCCAGAGGCACATGGTCAGGACACTCTGCTGCTACCCAACACTGTCCTCAGGTGTTGAGGCTTAAACTAGGGGATATGATATAGAAAATGCTACTCATGTTTCCCTGCTTTCTGTGTAAGCATGAATGACTCAGAAGAGACCAAACAGCGGCTTCAAAAGTATCTTATGATTCCAAACAGGAGACGTCAGTGGGTTACTGGGTTGACTGACACTCTTTTCAGAGATTTTTCATTTTGATGTTTTAGAGAAACAAGGAGGTTAATTGATTAATGAATCACCAGAAAATGAACCAGGAACTGTTTTAAGTTTGATTTGAGTTTTAATTTGCCATTTATCAATTAAAAGTTCTAAATATTCAGTGGCTTCAGCTTCTCAAATGTGAGAATCAGATTTTCATCTTATACATTTAATCATTTTTGGACTACTGGAGAGAACAAGCAATATAAAGATGCATCCATGAGCTCTGGGAAATTGTGTTGGTGTAAACCATTAATCTCATCTCATCTCATTTTCTATACCGCTTAGTCCCAAATGGGCCAATCCCAGCCGGCATTGGGCGAAAGGCAGGGTACACCCTGGACAGGTCGCCGGTCCATCGCAGGGCGTAAACCATTAATCAAAAAGAAAAATTTTAAAAAACGTATGGATTTATCAGTAGTCCTACCTTCTGTCTAATGTTATGTTATCACTATTCATGAAATAATTCTACTCCATGGTGGCCTGTAGTCTCCCAACCCTGTGGCCTTATCTCCAGGGGGCTCTTGTTCTCCCTCCTCCTGCATCTCCTTCTGCCATCATTCCCCCTCTTCTGTAGACATGGCAACTATGTGTATAATGAAACTGGCTAGACACCAGCTGCTCAGCCCTGGTTTAATTCCCACTGTTTCAGGTTTGAGGACTGACCACAGTTCTGTCTCAGTCAAGTGGATGCAGGCAAGAACATCAGGAAAGCAAGCATTAAGATGGTTTACATTTTGGCCATTAATTAATGAAAGCAACTTAAATTTAAACCATGGTGTGTTATCATTGATATAAAATAATAATAATGACTATTATAAATTATATTGTGGATACATATTTAAAAGAGAGTTGTTCATGTGTGAGAAAAAGGGAAGCAGATGTTGCAGAGTTTAATGAGCATTAACTGGCCTCCTGTGTACATGTCAAACCAGACAGCAAAAATCAAAGTTTTTTATGCATTACGGTAATTATGAAATGGCCCACACTTACTTACTTAGTTGCAGACGTTAGTCTGATAGTAGCCTTCATGCATAAATAAAGAGCCTTTCATCGCAGTGCACAGCCATAGCAGCTCAACAAGTGTAATGTGAGACACACGTCTGGGTGCAGCAGTCACCGCATTACATAAGATGGTATTGGTAATGCATAATCTGCATCTAACTCATGCCTCTTTCAAGCAAGCAACGTGTAAACATACGTAATATTACATGACTGAGAAACTTTCCACATCTCATTCCTCATCTGTAGTGCATGTTACTGATGTCATGCTTTGTATCGTTGCATCAAAGGTGATCACAGGGGAAGGGGAGTTGTTCGCTGTACGTCCTTGGCAGTAGTTCATGTAAATTAGAAAATGCCTGTTTTTATAACACTTCATCTCAATCAGTTATTGTACATTACATTGCAGTGTTATACAGTGTATATGCTGCTAACTACTGTAGGGTTTAAAAATGAATAGGGCTAAAATTAATTTATTTGAAGTTAAAGTGAAATGAAGGCTTTGTCTCTAAGCTACAAACTGTTAACCTAGTATGTCAACATATATATTAGAAAATGATTATATATATATGAAGTATAAATTAGCTAACCTTTTGAGGAACAACAACTATGACTGTTTGAGTTTTGCAGGGGCATTAGCTAGCTTAGCTACTGAAAGGCATTAAGTAGCTACTCAGCTACCTAGGCATAGTTAACTACTACAAAATATGAATATATTGAGCCATACTATGTACCACTCAGGATATGTGAGACACATGTATTTCTGGCATGTTTTTCAGTAGGGTTAGGGTTATCTGTGAAGTGTGAAATTAAGTAATTCACATTTGCTTGACTTGTGTTTGCATCATTCATCTTTTAATCCAACTCTCTCCTCTTTCTTTTCTGTAGGTCTTATCCTTCTCTTCTATCTAGTTTTCTACATCTTCCTGGCTGGCTTGTTTGCACTCACCATGTATGTCATGCTGCAGACCTTGGATGACCACAAGCCAACCTGGCAGGACAGGCTCGCCACACCAGGTGCAGTGACTAATGACACAAACTGCATGAAGTTTGCAGACTGTGCTGCACTGTCCTGAATTCATTGCTGTCTCTCTGTCACTCACAGGCATGGTGATTAGACCCAAAGGAAGTGAGACCATTGACATTGTTTATTCAATCCAGAAAACTGAGACCTGGGACACATACATTCAGATTCTGGACAAGTTCCTGTTACGTAAGTCTGGCTCTGGGCCGCTCTTACTGTGACTCAAAAAGCTCACTGCTGTGGATTATCCAGTGATCAGAATGAATTGTTTTTACCCAACAAGAGATAAGTCCTTTGCAGTCAGCAGGTAGGAGATTGCATTGCTCTAGGGTTTTAGCTGAATCATAAGCCCCTATAAACAAAATAAACCCCGGCCCTCCTCTGCTCTGCAGCCTACAACGACTCCATCCAGGCCCAGAAAAATGACGAGTGCACCCCCGACCAGTACTTTGTGCAGGAGGACAGCGGTGATGTGAGGAACAACCCGAAGCGCTCCTGTCAGTTCAACCGCAGCTCTCTTTATAACTGTTCCGGATTAGACAACAGTCGCTATGGATACGAGGATGGCAAGCCATGCATCATCATCAAGATGAATCGGGTATGAAAGAGGAGGAGGGAGGGGAAGTAGATGCTGTTGCTAGGAGACATGGAGTGACTGAGATAATTAGACTGGTTGTGAATGAGGACAGTATTATACCAGTAAAGGAAAAAATATATTAAGATTTATGTTGTTTTCTGTCACATTTTTAAAGATTATTTTCAAGAGTGAAATGAGATAATACTGGAATAATACTGGAAACGTGTTGCCTCTCTTTTTCACCAGGTGATTGGGTTGCGACCAGGAAACAATGGACAGGCTCCATATGTCACCTGTGGTGCAAAGGTAAACCCTGTTTGTCTTTTACAATGAAGTACTTAACATAACTATCTAGATTTCAGACCATTCATAGCCATGGTACCTCACTCTCATCTACAGCCTGCAACACATCTCTATTTTCCTTTAATGTTTGTATTGGTTCCACTATCATATTTCCACTGTGTTACATGCCATTTTGTCATTGACACCTCCTGTGAGTGTTGCTGGTCTCTTGATTTTTCTGTTGTGTTCCTTTAATATGCCCACTCTCAGAGGTACAAAATTGGTAAAGATGAATGGGTAAGAGGAGGACAAACCCTGTGTTCGTAGAGTTTAAATTAGATGTGCATATTCATAGCAGTAGTGAAGAGTGTAGTTGTATATGCATCGAGATGAGGTGTTTTGCATTGAACAGACTGCTGCAGTACAGTAGGTAGCAGGCATGCTGGGAAATGAGATATAAAGAAGGAGATTAACCTCTTTGTCTGCAACATACAGTGTATGTGAAGGGATTTTTCATACCGTAACTCTTTATGTGATTTCTCCCCCTCAGAGAGAAGACTCTAACAAAATTGGAGAGCTGGTGTACTACCCTCCAAATGGCACTTTCAATCTAATGTACTACCCTTACTATGGCAAGAAAGCTCAGGTGAGATTGTTCATTAAATCAAAACAGAGGAACTTAAACACCACTGTTAGCAGCTGGATTTGTGAACTTGTATTCTGCATTTCCAGATAGTGTAACAGACAGTAGGGATGGAACGATATTTGTAATTTTGCGATATCACAATAGAAAAATATTTCGATAATGTCATGGGATTATGATGCTATCTACATGTGGTTATTTTGTAAGTTTCACGGTGTGCTTGCAGAATTTGAAACTGACATAATGGATCATTGAGTTTTAGAGCTATAGTGTGGCAGTAAGCATTTAATTTTTCCCGTTTCAAGAAATTACAAGCGGAAAGGCAATTGACAAATGCTGAACAATTTGCAAATACTGCCAGACAAAGGCAATACTAGCCCTGTTTAGGAGTGAGACAGTCCTGGATATATCTCGCAGAAAGTTGGAACACGAGTGTGCACATCACTTTAACTGGTCTAGTAGCCTCCTCAGAACCTGACCGCCGGTCGGCACAGCCACCGAACAGAGAAATCTAAACCTGTCTAGGGGGAAATAAACCGCTGATGTTCCACTGCAAGTGTGACTTGTTTTATTTACAAGATCCAGGTACTGCAATAATATTTTATCTCATAAAAAGACTGCTACTGACTGTTGCGTTATTTTTTTAGGTACATTATTTTTAAAAAAGCTGATTTATTATTTAGTAAAGGATCTTTTTTTAATATCGTGATAAATATTGTATCATGGCAATATCATGCCACAAGTTTTTGGTATCGTTACATCCCTAGTAAACACTGCTTCCCATGTTTAAATATGTCACTGTTTTCACAGGTGAACTATTCTCAGCCTTTGGTTGCCGTCAAGTTCCTTAACATTACTTTCAATGAAGATGTCAATATCGAGTGCAAGATCAACGCCAACAATATTCCTGCCGGAAGTGAAAGAGACAAGTTTGCTGGAAGAGTGTCTTTCAAGCTGAGAATCAACTCCAACTAGGTTTTCCTCTCCTGAACACGGCTTTCTTCGTTCTCTGCAGCATTGCACATACACAGAAACAAATCACAGTTTTCACACCCTATGTAGGATTTGATAATCATCCAGGTAGGTTATGAGAGGAGTCAAGAATAAAAGGGTGATAATCCTGTCATTATTCTGTCTGTGGGCTATGGGACAAATTCTTTTGTGTTAATTAGTTTGAGGTGACATCTATTTATACTGCATGACAAACTAGGGGATCTAAAGGATGTGAAGATGTTTTCAGAGTTTGCAAGAATCAGCAACATCACCACTTTACTGTTACTCCCCTCCTGCTGCCTCCTTTTAGAGTATCCCTCTATACATAAATATACATTAATTACCAAATACAAAATACAGTATACAGTATCTATACGGCATCGTAACCTTATAACAGTAAGTCTGTTTTGTTGCACTTAAAAGAATAATCCAGTAGACTCGTGTTTATCTTGATGGGTGGATGCAGAGGTGAAGTCATTTTGCATGTGTGTGTGTGTTGTCTTTAGTGTGCTATGAGGGCAGGAGGCCCCCATGTCCCACCTCTCCGCAAAGTGTGAAACAAGGTTATGATAAACCACTGACCACCAGGAGGGACCACACTGTAATCTTCTAAAGCTTGTGCACAGCAAGTACGCATTTCAAACAACATGGAGGGAGATGGATGTTTTGAAAAAAGCAGGAGTTACAGTCAAGGTCAAAAGCTTTAAGAGCGCGTGTTTATGTGGTTGTGTGTGTGTTCTGTTCACTATTCCCATCTCATACTGTAGGTCGGGAAATTGCATGCAATGTGCAATATTCATTAAGTGGTGTACCTTATGAATATTTTAGTCCAATCTTCAGATGAGAACATTTCTGTGATATTCACCCTGGTTGATTGACCTGGCAGCATCTTAGAAAACAGATGGGTATTGTTGGGTTGCGAGAAAATGGTTGAATCAGTGATGCCAAATGAACTATAAGATCAGATGGTACATGATCAGTCATGCCTCAAATAACAACAAAAACAAAAACAGGACTCCCTCCCCACCCCCAGTACTCCCAGTCACATAGTGGCTAATCAAAAATTTGGCTCCCAGACTATGCTTACTATCTAAATCTGAGTATCACATGAAAACAGCAAAAATTACCCTCCTGCGTGTCTCAGTTTTTAATCAAATAAAAAATACTTTGTTTTTTATGTGTTGCATCTATTTCATGTATATCAGAAATAGATGCCATTTTCATATTTTGTATTGATTTGCACTGGAAGTGCGCTTTTTTGCTGGGGTTTTTTTATTATTTAATTTTTTGTGAAGCTGTTTTAATCTACAGTATGTACAGTTTTGGAGAAGAAGGGTGTAGAAAGTTTGTGTCTGTTCCCTTTGTTTCATTCATTCATTCATTCATTCATTCATTTTCTACCGCTTAGTCCCTGAATGGGGTCACGGGGGGGGCCGGAGCCAATCCCGGCCGGCAATCGGGCGAAGGCGGGGTACAACCTGGACGCCAATCCACGCCAATCCATTGCAGGGTTTGTTTCATTTATGCTTATAATCATCCTCTAAAATTGTTCATCTGGGAGATGAAAATGTTTGGTTTACATCTTCTGTAAGAAGTGACTAGAGTCTTGATTATGTGAATGTTAGTGCATCAGTGTTGTTTTATGGGCCTGTGGGAAATGATCAAAACTGGAGACTTGCTTCCACATAGAACAGGATATTTTTCTATTTAATTAGTTTTTTGTTGTAGTATTCTGCACTGTTTTAGAAATTAGGCTGAACGCCATTGTGACTACTGAATAGTTTGAAGAACCTCTTTAAAAATCATAAATTATCCCTGAGTTTGATGCTAGAGCTGTTTACTTAACATGCATTCATTGTGCAGTATGGGCACACAAAATTGGAAGAAACACCTGCAGATATTGGCTGTAGAAATCTGTGGAGTCACACTTTTAAACTCGGACGCATTAGCTTGGCACAGCTACAAAATTGGACCAATGTGACTGTGATCCTGCCATGCCATCACAGCAAATGTGGATACACAAGCATCTGTTCACTGACATTAAGGTCTGGCTCAACTCCACAGCTTAATTTCTCTCACAGCAGTGTATATCTCAGTATGCTCACAAATATCTCACAGTGGTCTAAAGAGGACCCATTATCAAATCCAGGCTTGACAAAGAAAGAAAGGACAGTTGGGTTTAACCTGATTATCTGATCTATAGCTGAGGGGTTATTCATAGAGAAGGATTTGCCCAAACGTTCATCAGTCATTTGCTTTTTGTGACTGTCCGCTGACACTGGCATTCCTACAACCTTTACTTAATTTCTCTAGAACCTCTTAATCTTTTCGGTTAATCCAGAGCAGGCATGCTGAGCGTCTTTACTCCACTCTGTTGCTCCTCTTTTTTGGGTCAAAATGCTTATTTCACTGTCATTGTCTTCGATGTTGGTAAAACAAGGTTTATTGATTTTGCATTTTTTCAAAGAATTCAGTCCTATTTCTGCCCCGTTATTATTCAGTTCAGTGAATCGCAACACAGAATATAAAATGTTTTCTTTATCACACGTCCTCAGCAGCACCTCATACAGAGAGATACATACAGAGATACGCTAGGATCCAGGTGGAGGGCAATACTGTAGACCCAGTGTTATTGTAAAACGTACTCTTAAGTAATAACAATACGCACAAAAGGAACATCTGTCACTATATATAACAGTGCCTCCTGGTGGACAGACTGTGTTGTTCCCCAGTGTCAGAATGTTAGTTCTTATCTCCATTTATCATTTTATTTTCCTGTGATAATTTAGAGGTCCTCAAAAAGCAATATATTTATTTCATGTGTGGCTGTATGATATATTTTTTTGAAAGGATGAAACTAAAATCGGTGTAACATGTATCATCAAGAGCAAAGAATCAAAATGAAAAGAACATACAGTACAGATATTGCAATCAGTCGATTTAGCCAAAGTCTATTACTACGATGAAAACATATAAAGAATGTTGTTTTGTTTATAAAAGAGTATTTTTATTGCTATTTTGTTGTAAAAAGGAGAAAATATATTAGCTTGTTATGAGCTACCTGGTAGGTTTTCATCATTTAGTTCAGTCAGTGGCAAAATGTTAACAGCTTGGTTAGAAAAGTTTTTGTTGTAATGTAGAAAGATCTGACTTATTTCTTGTAAAGCTTGCAGTGAAAGTTCTCTGAACACTGGAGTCTACTGATTATTATTATTATTATTATTATAACTATGTCAGAATAAAGGCACAGTCCATGAAAGTAAATTGATATTATGGTAAATGGATCAGAATGAGCAGTGCTTTCAGAGGACTTCACGTGCAAAACCTTCAGGATGTTTTCAGAATGAAACTACAACAGGGTCCAAAGCAAATGTCAGAGAAAGTCAACAATTCATGTTTCAAATAAGGAATAACTTCACCAGTCCTTATTACTCTCATCTTATCCCCTCATTTTACATCATAATATTGCCTCAGATTGTGGTGCGAGGACAGTTCAGTAAGGAAACCATGGAATTTGTTAGAATACTCTACCCCAAATCAACAATAATTCTATCTTTATTTTTTGCTCTTACTGTGTATATATTTTTTGCTCATGTTTACTGCAAACCATGATAGAGAAATAAATAAATGTCATTTAAGGGAACTCAACTTAACTGTCTTGTCAGTCCTCTTTCATGTGGTGTTTGGCATCTTCATAGGAAGAGGGAAGAGATTCATTATGCATGGACAGACACTAGGATTAGCTTGGAATAGATGTAATGTTCATCCTTTCATTGTCTTATTATTAACCATAATATGATATGCTTTTGCAGGAGACGGGGGGAAAAAAGGTCAGACAGTGTAATCCCATTCGCCATAATCCTTAAACCTACAGCTCCAGTGGGTGCCTCTCCTTTCTTCACTGTCCCCTCCTCAGAAAACATAAGTGCAGTACAGGAAAAGGGAGACAGCCAGGATTGCACAGCATTAGTGGTCTGATTGAGTGAAATGCCAGTGACTGGTACTTGCATATTCTATTCTCACTGTTGAACACACATTCAATAAATTTTAACCCTGAATAATCTGCAACCCTTTAATATTACCCAAATTAGGACTTCTGGTAAATATTATGACAGAAAAGCCTTGCATAAACCTGTTCACACTGCCACTGAGGCACAAAATGTGCCCAGATAACTGTCACCCAGAGCGATAGTGAAGATCAGTCAGCAGCAGAGTGCTGGAACCTCTGCTGGATAGTGGATAATATTACACAATACTTCCATGGCAATTAAATGTCAAAGTTATCACATTACTAGCTCGGGTTTTATAACAGGCAACTGAATTTTCTCCCTGTTTTTTTTATTTCTTTGAGGATCTTTAATCATTCTGATCATGATACAAATATTACCGGTGTCAAACAGAGAAACAAATCCCCTATACTCCTACTACAGTTGCTGTGAAGCACCTTTGTTCAGCATACAGTTTAGTATATTGATTTTCTGTGTGTAATTAAGGCAGATTAGTCCCAGAATTTAGGGCTACAAGGCATCCTGACCCAGCTAGTTTGACATAGCAAACTAAATAATCAAAAATCACCAGTCACATATGGGTGGAGGTGGGCACAAAAACCTGAACTGTACAATCTGACAATCTCATTACAAAGAAATCCCCCCACCTCCTCTGTGATACTTGTTACAGGGCAGGTGATTATGTTACTCTTACTGTGTCCACCTGCTTAAATAATTCAGTCTGTGTTTAATTGGACTAAATGCATTATCAGATGCCTTAGAATGGCTCTAAACTGGGAAGAAGCTGAAGCAATTGGTTAAATACTGTCACACTGAAAGCAAACTGACTTTCAGTATTAGTTGATTGTTGATGGGAAAAATATGGCATGTAACTATTAACAAAAAAAAAATTCCCTGGACTTTACACTTCATTCGTAGCTACATGCTAGAGGCACGAAGACGGTGCAAAATATGGTAAAACAGCACTAGAGGCTGTGTCCATTCTCCTTTCTATGGCAAGTCCAGCATGCCATTTTCCTCTAGGGCTTTTTGTGTCCTGTCATAAACCTCAACAGTAGCCTTAACCACTCTGGTCAGCACTGTCCTGAGCTGCTCCTGGTTCTGAACGCACATTATTCTGAAGAAGAAACTTCTTTCTGGTATGGAAGTAAAGGCCAGCTCGACAGCCCTGCGGACCAACCAGGTGTGGTGGTTGGCTAGGGTGCTCTGGTAGGCCTCACGACACAGATCTGCAGGGCTCCTGAGTTGGCCGGCCACTGGTGTCTCAGCCAGCTTCTCCAAGAACAGTTTCAGCCAAAGCAAGGCACGGTGTAGACGCAGAATAGTCCGGCATCCAGAGTCCGTCTGGTGGTGGAAGTTCACCACACCTCGATTCAGCTCCACCCAGATCATGGAACGCACAGAGTGGTAAGCACCTGTGTGCTCTGAGGCCCCTGCGTCATTCGTCTTCCCAGCATCAGAGCTCACAGAGTTCACTGGGTGTATATCTGACCCCAGCTGTGCTTTACGGTTCTCTTCTGCCAACAGGGCCAGATGGCGGATTATAGAGGTCTTGCTTTCTATTTCTTTAGAGATCAGTCCCACCATTGGACCCATGGAATCCATAAACCTGGAGAAGAAACGCAAAACAAGTTAAATCAGCTTACAGACTTCAAATTATACCATAAGCTATAAATTACGTCATTCTGCCTAGTGGTTGTAAATAAATCTATCTCTCTCAGTGCCATCCTGTTTTATCTGATGATCATACTTCACAAGTTCATCCCAGCTGGACAGATAGGGCTCCAGTAATACATCAGAGGTGTAGGCTGGTGCAGCCAGCAGATGTGTGAGCAGCACTGACACCTGGAAGGTCTGACCAGGGCACTCCTTCAAGGGCTGTGGGCCCTCAGCCCCAATGGTACCACTGCTGTTGGACAGCGGGTGAAGCTGACAGTGGGGGGATGGGAAGTGTGCCAGCGTGGGGAGGGTTGATGGGACAAAGACAGAGAGAAAGCAAAAGTGATTCTTTACAAAAATCAGCCTAAATGCAATAACTCATTAACTAATGTATTATTTGCATGTGCCTTTTACCTTATTCACCTGATTATAACCTTTTAAGCAGGAATTCCAGTAGTAATCCAAACCTCCATCTGTGGGAGACATAAAAGCACCAGGAGAAAGTTTTATAATTAGATTGTGGTTACAAATATGTTTTAACTGAAACATTTTTAGTGATTATACTACATCTGGGCTTCAGCCACAAGGCCATTCTGAGCTGTGCCAGTGCATTTAACACATCAACACAAAATATTATTTCTGAAGAACTGTGGGTCAATGGGACTCACACTTTCTACACATTATACTTGCAGAACCACTTATCTACACATCCAGCAGTTACCAGCCATCATTATGTAATTGGAGTCATGTTCACTCCCTTTTATCTTTGTTCTTGGTCTCCACCACCTCCTGCAGGATGCATCTAGCTGCTGTGGCTGAAAACTACACAATAGGTGAGAGTGAACATAAACAGTACATTTAAGAACCAAACAGCTGAACAATGAGCTAAACATACTAGAAAATATAGCTCCATAAAGCCAAGGGGAGTTGTAGATCTCTATTTATCATTATGAGCAACTCCTTTCACATTTTTTCACATGGTCATTTGATACAATGTTACAAGGGTAGAGTAGTCTTTTGAGATAGACAGTCACATGAAAAAGGTACAAAGTGTGTGGTGAATTTATGCATTATAGATTTACATATCATTAAATACCAAGAATACTGCACAACAAATGAAGCTCTCCAATTAGACAATAGACAGCCCCATAACAGGTCAGACCACTCCTATAAATGTTGTGTGATGTGGCTAAAATTATTTTTGTGCATAAAAAGTGAGCAAAAGGTGGTGCGACCACCATGTGACACATTCCTGATCTTGAGCCTATGCATTCCACACAGAGGAGGTTTGTGTGAAGTAACACAGTGGCACACAAATACACAGAGTGGCAAAGAAAGTAAGTCAGCCCTTTAGAATTGCCTGCATTTATGTATACATTTGCCTTAAAATATGGTTAGATCATTATCTAAGTTACAGTTATGAAGTATAGTGGACAACCTGACTTGAGTGGAGACAATTTAGCAGTGTGGCCACTTTCCCAAGGAGTGGTCACTCATCCTCCAAGAGCACAATGCTGTAAACCGCTGTTTGCAGAACAACATCACTGTGCTTTTGAAGTTTGTCAAAGAGCATTAGACACATATAGAACAATGCTGAGAAAATGTTTAGTTATAAGGGTTTTGGTTGTAAGGTTGCATTATTAGAACACACAACATTAAATATGGTGCAAAAAGACACTTCATACAGACATGAAAACATCATACCAATAGAGAGAGCAACTTTTTCTTGCCACTGTACAGACACATATTGTACATACACTCACACACAGAAATACTCACAGAGCCACAAAATGCTGAGGAACAGCAGCAGGCATAAAACTGCTGCAGCAGCCTTGCCCTTTACACCCATAGTGAAGTCCAGTTTTGGTTCTGCCAGTTCCTCTCTGTTCCTACTGTGTGCCTTTTATTTTTGAATTCCTCTGCATCTCACGAGTCCATGTCCCACTGCACTGGCTGTCACCACAATTACTAACAGACCCCTGCTTCTAACACCCTTCTCCATCCTCTTACATTTTTCATACTCCTCCCCAAATCCTCAAATAAAAGATTCTGTTGACTATTACTGTATCTCCAAAGAGCTTCAGTGTTTAACTCTATTTTACAACTGCTGTTTCCCTAGCTATGTTGTTAGCGTCACTCCACTGTTGCTCTTTCTTCTTTTTGTTTCTTTGAGTTATGTCTTCACTCTATCCTGCCTTTGTTTCTAACTGAGTTTGGAGCTGCCTGTTTCGTGTTGTATAACTCAGTCTAAGAGTCCAGAGATCACACCAATGCAGCCATTAACTGATAACACAGCTTGTCCTCCAGTAACGCCCATCATCCAGGTTCATTTTCTATATACGTGCTATATTCTTGTTCAGCTGAAATAAACATTTGCTCCTTCGACCTCTCCTCTCACAACCTCCCTTCCTTCTCCCTCTCACTCTCTTTACACTTCTCATTCACACACATTATTAAGAGAACCACTACAACCACTACTGCTGACCCATATTTCTGAAAACATGTTGGTTTAAATGGGATCATAACATGAAATATTAGTACATCAGAATTCTCTCAGCGTAAACAAATGTCTTTTTCCCTCTGTTTGAATCTATCTGTATGACCTCATTAAAGTCATGACAACCTAGAGTAAACCTCTGTATTGATTTATTTGCAGAATAACAAGATCTCCTTTTGGTGAAATAAAGAGACGTGAAAACAAATCCATGCTTCTCAATGAATAACAAAGTCTAACCAAGCTTATCCTAGCTGAGTTGGCAAAAGGAACTAAGATGTATGCTAATCTAATTCTAAATATGACAAAGCCATCTGTAGTTCTGAAAAAAATATTGAAAGCAAACAGTATGTATAAAGATGTAATGTCCTTTCTCTTGTCACCATATCTTTAAGGACGCTAATTATTTATTGATTTAAGTCAGTTACTAAAGTTTAAAGTCTGAGATATGTCAGTAAAACAACAGGACTGACATGGTGCATAAAGGGTGTTCCCACAGTAACCATGGGAAGCCCAGTAATTGTTTGCTATCAGTGGGTTTGCTGCTGTTGCAGAGGTGGAGGTGAACAGACCCCACACTCCAGCCAAACCACACGTGTTCTTATTAAAAGAGGCCTAACAACAATATTATTCAGCGGAGAAGAAGGAAAAAAGTGAAAGCAGGAGCATTAATTACTTACAGTTGCTAGGAGGGGGGTGGTCACAGGGCTTTTATTTTCTGCAACCAATGAACAAACCTGTCGTAAACAGGCAGCAACTGACAAGGGGGATATGGAACCTGGTGAAAACATGATCCTTTGAGAAAACCATAACTGTCTCACCCCTTTAATTACAGTAAATGTTCTGATGCCATAACATACATTTTGAAAAGCTAGTCTGTGGCCAAAATCAGTGAAAAGAAAGGTTGTGTTTTTGGATAATATGACCACACGGCAGCATATAAATTGAGATCTGGACTGGGCTGAATGTAGAACCTTGGGGAACTCCGCATGAGATGGAGGCAAAGGAAGATGAAAAGCTGCCAACTGAAACACTAAAGGATCTGCTAGATACTAAATATGAGGAGAACCAGCTTAAAACAGAACCAGAGACTCCAGTCCACTGTCTGAACACGTCGATGAGGATCAAGTGGTGTAATGTGTCAAAGGCTGTACTTAAGAGGTTGGAGCAGTTTCCTGAGTCTGCAGCTAGGAGGTCATTACTTTCAGTCATGCATTTTTTGTTGCTGTTATAGGTTTAAACAAATTAAGAACTGTGGTATTTTCAGATGAGGTGGATAGACTATCCATAGAAATGATGATGTCAAGTACCTCATTTCTAATGAAGTTAAACAGCTTCTCATTCACTAGTAGAGACTTCTAACTAGTGGTTTGGGTTGAAAGATGCGGCAACATTCTGTACAGGAAAAAGTGAAAAGATTTTGGTGATAAAATTGGGGAAATACTTTATTTTGGCATTTTGTTATTAAGCCAAGGTGTGGCCAAAGTACTTCTACTATATTTAAGGGGTGCAACAATGTAAGGGTGGACAGCACTGTACTCACTGAATTATATCCCTTAGATTGCAGTTAATTTGAATTCTGTTAAATAAATCTTTTACTAGAAGGTCATGTGCGGTCCTCTCCTCTTTGTCCATCCTTTGAGACAAGTTGTGACAAGTCAAATACAGCTCTAGGTTCGACCGTCTTAATGGTTTGAACCCCCTGCCTCATTAGATGTGGCTTTATTTATAATGCTACTGTAGTTATAAAAACAGTTACACATGCCTGTCTGACAATTTGTAATAAGTGGCCTCTATGTCAGCTATTTTAAAGAACTGCTGAATAGAACTGGGTGGAGCTGAAAGCTAATTCTTGGCTTGTACAGTATCATGACTGGTTTTACTGATGAAAGATAAGCAACCTAAACTGAACTTTGCTGGAATGTTTCTTTATTTTACAATGTCCAGAAAGATATGACCCTTCAATTTCCTCATGTTTTTAAACTAAATAAAAATGCATAAACCACATTGTCCTGCTACAGCAGTACACTGCAGCTTTGCTTTGTGACTGGACTGCTTGAGTATGAAACCAGTCAGCCCTTCTTCTATCTCTGAGCTCTGAGTGCCAAATACATAATCTGCCTTCTAGAGGCTCCAGTTACCTTAAAGAAGCGCATCTCTGTTTTCCTAACTGTATATTTAGAAGTGCATCCCATACTATGCAACACACATGGCACATTCCAAAAATCAGGCTGTTGCCCTCATCACTGCAGAGTAACACTTTTTATTCACATTATTAAGAATAACAGCAAATTTAGATTCTGTGTTTAAAATGTGTAAAATGTCCTTATACTTTTCAGAGTTGCCTTTGCAGCAGGATCTATTGGAAATTAAAATAAATAAAATAAAGTTAGCTGACTTATCTTGATGCAGATTAATGTGTCTGCCTCTAACAGTCTCTCTACCTATGCAGTATCTGTCTCCAACGCTCTAACACTCTGAGGCTGAAGTGATAAGGGTCTGCTGTTTGTTTTATTACCCTGGTTGTCACCTGTTCACCATGCACACATATTTGTTTTCATTCCTCATGGGAACTTTAACTTTAACCAGTTAGGTTAGCTGCCACACTAAACTGTAATGATCTACAAGGGGAGGACCAGAATTTGCTCCTCACGAGGAGGCAAGAGTCCCCGTAGTGTGAGTGTGTAAACAGGTTTTGGTCCCCACAGTGTGAAAAATACCAGCAATGTGTAGATACACACACAAATGCACACTTACACAGACAAACTCCAACTCAAATAGGGCCAAACATGCTAACTCAGCATCACTTTGCAAATGTGCTACTTGTGATTTCCTCACCAAAAGAAACATGCATACTGTTGTAATTCTACATTATATTTTGAACACAATTATCAAAGTAAAACTGTTTTATCAATAACAACTTACAAAAATACTACAGGAATATTAGATATATAGGAGATAAACAACATAAGGTTTCACTTTTGTCTACAATTTATTAAAAAATTTAAAGTATTCTAATGGAATATAGTGGCATTACTGCAGGTAGCTGTTGTCTACTGATCATGATGATGATTATTGTCAGTGACCAACGTATGACTTCAAGTTCTGGTTTAGTGCTGTGTAATCTGAGCCATGGATAGCAACAGCTGCGGTGGGCAACAGTCAGGGGCTTTGGTGGGGGGATTTAGGGCTCTTCCTCTGCCTTTACTCTCCTCTCTCTCTTTAGATTTAAATATAGTTCAGTGCCATGCTGTGAAAGGGTCTTGGAACATAATGGCAATGCAGAGTTTTTGGATATTTTTTGGAATTGTAACTATTCTTGGGGTTTTAGTGGCTCAGGGTAAGTTGCAAAATTTTGGCACATCCTCACCGACTGGCTGGCTGTCATCTTCTGTCTGTCATGTAGGCTATAAGCAGAAAATCACTCTTCAGGAAGACAACCAGAACAAAAAAAAACTCTCTTATTACATTAACTGACCTGGTAAAGGAAACTATATATACTTTAGACCTCCTAAAACCTGTGAAAACATGTACTGTTATAAATCATCTGTTGTTAAATATTGAAACTTGAGGAGCAACACAGAAAATGTGACTGACAGTGAACAGGCAGTTGGATAGTATATAGTGCTGCTGACTGTTGCTGTTCTACAAATGCTCTCACGTTTAGATCTGGTGGCTAGTCAGAAGATTTAAATAGTTAATGAAGGCGTCCACACTGTGCCAGCCGTTTGGTATTTTATGCACAGTTTGAGGTGTGAGTGTGTGTCTCCTTCCAGTTGATCTGAAAAAGAAGTAACACAAGTAGAACCCCTTTGCTTCTGCCTGTACAATCTACAACATGTGTCACCGCGTTTCTATTATTTATCTGACATATATTATATTATTATGACCTTTTTTACAACATTTTTATTACCTTGTTGTAAACCCCTGCGCTTTGGCCTGTAGCCTACTGCTCAGCAGCAGCTCAGTCAATATTTGATCAGCCTACTAGTCAGGTCACAAGTCTTATATAAACATGCTGATTTGAAGATAAGTAAGGGGTCAGTTCTGATTCTGAACTCTGCAGGTGAGTAAACCACTGGACAGAAAAATGTTATGAGCTGAGTTGGCTTTTTGTGAACATGGTTGTCATTGCAGAAAGGTTGCACCTGAGGTAGAAGCAGAAGTGAAACACTGGATATGGTTTGTAAAGTTTTACAAAAATAAGCTTTGGTGGCGCTTAAACTAATCAACAAATCCAGTTGGCCACTCAGGAAGGAGTATTATTACAAGTTGCTGGGCTCCAAATGCTTCTTGAGCCCAGCTCCTTGGTAGAGGCCACTGGTGTACATTCAAGTTGCTGGCATGGACAAGATTCATACTCAAGTGCAGACACTTGATATGATCTCAAGGTGTAATATTAACTTGTGGGATGTTTGGGATGAACTCCGCATATGATGTATAGGGCTGTAATGCGTCTAACTGGTGACAGGGCTGAGACACTGGACCGAACTCCTCCAAGGAAGGATGCTCACTCAAAGATGGCTCAGGTGATTTCATCCTCTTGCTGGACCATTTTTGTGTTTAAAACAAGTCCATGAATAGGAGTGTGCACCAGGCAAAGGGACACAGTCAGATGTGTTTACCTGTATGGCCATGTTGTTCTAATATGATTATTTCCTGGCCCTGTTGCATTTTAAAAGGCCAGATCACCCAAAACAACAAATACTTTGCCACTTACAGCTAGTGCTATCTACGGATGCTCAATTTGTCTGCCAAAAACTGTACAGTATCCTCCTGATTTGATCATTTTGATCCCTTCTGTGGTCAGGCTCTGCCTCTAGTTTCCCATCATCACCAGGCTTAAGTGTTAGCTGCTGGGATTGATCAGATTGCAGCTACATTAAGTGTAGATTGTATCCACATATTGATATAACTGATCCACATGAGTCAGCTGAGTGAACTGCATTTAAAAGTACATTAGATACTGTCTAACTCGCATGGCATAGTTCTAAGGTTAGCCTGTTCCTCTCTCTTGTCATGGTGGAATAGGACTATTAACTGCAGTCTGTCTGAATTCTGCCATTTTTTCAAACTCAAAAGGATATTGATCTAGAGTTGTTGGATTTTAACCTATCATGAACGAGATGATTACCTTACATGATCACATTTACAGTTTCACTGATTGTTACATCAGTTGTTTGTGTAATAATTAATGATAATTATTGTAGATGACCTGATTGTGACTTAAAGTCCTAGTTTAGAGTTTCCCAGCTGCTGTGTAATCTGAGCTATGGATAGTGACAGCTGGGAGGAAAGAGGCAAAGGGTCAGAAATAACTTTGGCCTTTCTCCCTTTTAGCCTCGTTAGGTTTATTCTGAAATACAGTGACGCCAAAGAGATTAATAATGTATAATGTACACACTGACATAAAGTGCAGTTTTGAGTATGGTTACTAGTTTCAGGACTCTGAGCAGTTATGCCCTGTCTCATCTCTCCATCCAGTGGGTAGTGTTTTTGTCAACACTCAACACTGACACAGCAAAACGCACAGGTTATATTAGCTATAAGATGTCCATTTGAAATTCCACAGCATAATAAATAATACATACACATGTAAATTACATCAACACAAAATATATTTGAAGAACTAACCTAAGTTAAAAATAGTGCAAATGTCTTCTGGATGACTGTATGGACGATGCTTATTTATGAGAAGGTTTGTAAAATTAGGCAATGGTTGGTTGTTAGCTGTTTTCACTTGATGTCACATGATGTTAATGGCAGGGCTGGAGAATAATATAAACATTTACTGTATGATCTAAGCGTGTCATTGTTCATATTATTTGAGAATACTGATATATGCAAATTAACTGACCAAAACAGAGTTGTTCCTGCTTTTTAGGCAAACCTGAATCTTTCTGAGTTACTTGAAATTCTTAACAAAAACAGTTACACTACTAAATTGTCACAAAATAACAGTGCTTCAAAATGCTACGGATTATAACCATAATAATTACACTAGACTGTTTCTCATCCTCCCTGCGTGAAGCATTAATTCAACATAATTCCAGGACATGTACATAAACTCACTCTGTTTCTCCTCTCTTTCTTCATGCAGTGCAGTGTAATGAGGAGACACAGTTGATCAACCACTTGTTCAAAAACTACAACAAGAATATTCGCCCGACAGCTCATCCTGAAGACAAGGTGGAGGTTCAGATCAAGATGACCCTCACTAACCTCATCTCTCTGGTGAGCTCATGCTCTTCCTACTTGTCACAATACAGCCTGAGTGCATACAGTATTAAGAAATATTAGCAGTAATTAACAAGGGGTGTAAGTGAGTACAAAATCTCCACTCTACAGGATTTTCAGGAGGGAGCATTCCCATGGGACAATAACATTCTTCATCATTCTGGCCAGAGATTTAGACATGAGCACAATGTTCAGTCTCTGATGTTATTTAGTAGTGCATGATCACACTCATAACACTTCTTCACTTATACCACAGAATGAAAAGGAGGAGACTCTTACGACCAGTGTGTGGATTGAAATAGTGAGTTTTCTGTCTCTTCATATTTAAGGTTTTGCTTTGTTTATATAAATCACAGAAAGAGTTTGGCAGCTAGGTTCATTTTGCCTACAGGATTTAGACCATCCCTCTTACTGACCATCTGTCGTGTCTCATTTTTAATGTCACTGGTAATCTTTCTCTCAAATGCTATCTACAGCAATGGGTGGATTATCGCCTTGCTTGGAACATGTCTGAATATTATGGCCTTAGTATTATTCGTGTTCCTTGTAAGACTGTTTGGCTTCCTGACATCGTCCTTGAGAACAAGTAAGATGGTAACAAGAGGAGTGAATTCCTGCATTTTTGCTTGTTCTGGGGGGTTTTGTATAAAGTCTGGTGTCAACTCTTTCTGTTGTTTATCCTCCTTCTCAACAGCATTGATGGCAAGTTTGAAGTGGCTTACTATGCCAATGTATTGATCAGCTACACTGGTTGGATGTACTGGCTACCCCCTTGTATCTACCGCAGCACTTGTTCCATTGAGATTACTTACTTCCCATTTGATTATCAAAACTGCACACTAGCATTCAGGTGTGGTATATTTATATTATCATTAAATACATACACTATATACAGTATATAATCTGTGTGTGTTTAAATTTATTTGTTTATTGCTGTCCCATTCTATCCACACTGCTATGACCTTAGATCCCAGACATACAGTTTCAATGAAGTGGAACTTGTCTTGGCCACTGGAGATACAAACAAGATTGAGTGGGTGGAAATTGACCCTGCGGCTTTCACAGGTATAATACATCCACATTCAACACTTCAAAGTTCAGAACACATAAATTCTCTCCAGCTTATTATGTTGTCACTGTTCAGAGAATGGCGAGTGGGCAATCATCCATCGTCCAGCCAGGAAAATGATCAACCCAAACTATTCCCCAGATGACCTGGAGTATCAGGAAATCCTGTTCAATATTATCATCCAAAGGAAGCCCCTGTTCTACATCATCAACATCATCCTGCCATGCTCCCTCATCTCCTCTCTGGTCATATTGGCCTACTTTCTACCTGCACAAGGTCAGTAAGGCCATTGTCTAATTCCCTATGGCTATTATAACATAGATTGTTATAGCTTTAAATGGGGCAATATTACCTAGTCTCACAATGTACCTGGACATAAAAGAAAATAATCATTTATCTTAGTTACTCTTAATACTGGCTATAGCCCTGTGATAGACTGGCGACCTGTCCAAGGTGGACCCTGCCTCGCGCCCAATGTCAGCTGGCATTGGCTCCAGTCCCCCGTGACCCTATTCAGGAATAAGCAGTATAGATAATGGATGGATGGATGGATATACTGGCTATAATAAAAACTAACAGAATTGTAGCCACTTTATTTGCTTTATTATTTAATCATTGAAATGGAGCTCATTTGAGGAGGTTCTTGGAGCATATTCAAAGCTTTCAAAACTACATTGAGTATATTTATTCAGGAAGTTTTAGCCAGATTCTTAAATAAAGCCATTATGTTATGTTACTGTACAACTACTGTATAATGGCAGCCTCTTAAATGGAACACATCATTATCTTCTGCACAGACAGGGTCTGAGCACAAAGAATATGCTTTAGGTATTCAGCCCCAAAACTAGTACCATTTTTGTATTTGGTTTCTAAGTCTCTGTTGTCCCCTTCACAGCTGGGGGACAGAAGTTGACAGTGTCCATCTCTGTCTTGCTGGCTCAGACTGTCTTCCTCTTTCTAATTGCTCAAAAGATCCCCGAGACATCTCTTTCTGTCCCCCTCATTGGCAAGTGAGTCAGCATGTGCTCTCTGCTGAGCTCTGCAGATTTCTGATGGTTATGTTTTTGTTTTTTAATCCATACCATTTGAGGCTCCTCTCCAACACAGATCTTGCCTAATGTCTTCCTCAGGTACTTGATTTTTGTCATGTCTGTCACTACTCTCATTGCTACTAATCAAATTGTGGTGCTGAACTTCTCCCTGCGCAGACCCAGCACTCACACCATGTCCCATACTATCAAGCATGTAAGTATATCTTACGCAGTTGAGTCAAATTTGTGCGTTCAAGAATGATTTTATGTGAACTAACTAATGCCTCCCACAGCTGTTCTTAGAGATGATACCTCGCTTCTTGGGCATGTCCCCACTGGTGGATGACAGTGAGGCGACAACAGAAGTAAATGGGGTAAGGGAGCGGCGGCGCAGCTCATTCGGCCTCATGCAGAGAGCAGAGGAGTATGTACTAAAGCAGCCCCGCAGTGAAATGCTGTTTGACAAACAAAGAGAGAGGCATGGTCTCACACGATCAATTGGTAAGACGTCAGTTTCTGAAGCTATGAGCCAGCACAACAGTGTTTGTCACACATCCCAGCTCAGACATTTGCCATAAAACTTCAAAGAAAAGCGACTTATCTTCTGCTATAAAATATAAATACCCACAAAGTGTGTGTCACTGGAATTTACTATGACTTCTTAACTGTAACTGATAACTGTGTGCCAAATAAGAATGATCTGTTACAGTCCCATTCATTGTGTATGAGCATCATGATGCAAATGTTGCTTTATGTGTAGTTTGTATCACGTTCATTAGTTTCCCTTATGTTTGTCAATTCTTTGTATATTACTGGCTTATTGCATGTCTTTTTAAACCTTTTTTTTGCTTTGTCACCTCACAGATGCAGATGCCTGCCTTTGTTAGTGTTGTGCATACTAACTGTCTGTGTCGCCTTCCCCCAGTGGATACTATAGATGTCAGCAGCACAGCCAATCTGTATAAGAGTTTAGCCCAAGCTGCACCTGAGATCAAGCAGTGTGTGGATGCCTGCAACTTCATTGCTGAGAGTACGAGACAACAAAATAACATTGGATCTGTGAGTGTTACTTTAAACTTTATTTTCCTATTCAACAGATTGTATGCAATTTAAATTATATTTTGGATGACTATATTTATTACACATTTTGCATTCTTATTCATTTAATCTCTATTCATTTTCTTTCCAAATACAGGAAATTGAAAGCTGGGTATTGATTGGGAAGATGATAGACAAGGTGTGTTTTTGGGTTGCCATTCTTCTCTTCATTATTGGCACTGTGGGGATCTTCCTAACAGGACACTTCAACCAGGTGCCAGAATATCCATTTCCTGGGCATAACAAAAAATATGCCCCAGTTTAAAAAAAGACATTCATTTGCGCTGTAGAAACTTTTGCAGGGGTCACTGTAACTCATACTGTCTATATGGCTGAGCAGCCTTGTTCATTGACTCCCAGGCTTAGATTCAGGGTTGAGTTAGGTCTGTGCAGCCTTCATAACAAAGATTTAATGCCAAGCCTGTCTGTGTTTATATTCACAGCTCAGGCTTATCTTTGTAAATACTTATCTGTCAGCTGAGGGGCTTCATTCAAACATGCAACTTAATTCTAAGTTCTTGATCTTAGAATGAGCTCTTTGGATGTACACATCCAGTGGGTGGATCGACCTACGTATAAAAGTGATGATTCCAAGCATCATCATCACCACAGTCATCGTTATTATAAAAATCATACCAAATATAGCTATTATTTGTCTGTTTTGTGATATAAAATGACTCAACAGTGCAAGTTTAAGTTCAGACTTCAAGTTATACAGTAGGTGTATTTCAAGGAACATGCTGAGAAAGTCATGCCTGATGCAGTGGGGAACTTTTCAAGTCCAAATGACTGCAGCATTGTTATAGTATGAAGCCATAAGCACTATGTAGAACTGTATTCCTAACTAGCAATACAGAAGGTGCATTAATTGATTAACTGATTTAATTGATACATGGTGTGCTAAAGCTGCCCATCTTTCATGAGATTATAGGAAACTTCCATGTATCAGACAGTCAAACTACTAGTCTGGATCAGTTTCCATGCATGTACTACTGTATGTCTTATGTGATTATGATGTGCATTTAACTTGAGCCTGCCAAGGGTGAATGAATTAAAGCCTTATTCTTTTTACTAAGACATTTATTAGAAAGTTTTGTTAGTGTTAGATGGCTTGGAGAAATGTTCTCTTGATATCATGGTGCCATGTTTTTTTAAATAAATATTTTATTTTGTGCATCAGGAGTTGTTTATGCTATATTTTACAAAGTTTGAGTGGAAATCCGCCATGACAAAAAAGGCATTTAATCTTGAATTGAATGACAAAATAGTTGTACAGTATTGTAGTTTCATACATTAGATAACTATATATTAAAATTTTTCTTAGAGAAAAAATTATCCTGTAACTGTACAATGTGACAGAAAAGCTGATAATCTGTAACGTCACTGTAAAATTCACATATCCTATTTGATGTGCTCAGTGAGTTAAACAAGAATTTTCAAGCTCATCATGTTTCATCTTATGTCCAGTTGTCATCAAAGTTGCATTGGTATTTGAGAGCGAAATTATGAGAAGTGCTCCATACAGCATATATTCATGAAAGACAAAGACATGTACCTGAATTGAATATGCTTTGGGTTTTATTCAGGTTATATTATTTTATTATGTGTATCAAATGCTTAACCTACCCTTTTTTAATGTACGAAAATAGCCTAAGGTTAATCATATTATGTCATGGTTATTTATCATAGAATCTTGATTTATCCTTAAAATCAGCATTGTCAGTATCAGTGACGTAATACTGCATTTTAAAATCCCTACTGAGATTTTGGTTTAAGTGTGATTGAGCGCCTCCATGTGGTGTGAAGCTGTACTACACCAAAGTACACAGGCCACCGCCACCTCAGGCCAACATTCATATTGGCTAAACTGTCACTGCTGTGCATTGTTCAGTTTTAATTACATCTGATTAGTGTTATTAACTTCCCCCTCAAAAATAATTCAGTTTATTTATATACCCAATATCATATACTAAATGTCCGACAAGCTTAGGCCCACAAACTCAAGAGGAAAACCTTACTACATAAAGGGGGAAAACCCTAGAAACATTAGCTAGAGACCACATCTTGATGGGCAATATGAAGGAAAGGCAAAACTGAACACAAAATTGTAACATTGCTCGGAACATATGACGGGATTGGCTCCAGCCCCCTGTGACCCCGTTTGGGACTAAGCGGTATAGAAAATGGATGGATGGATGGAACATATGAGGATTAGCCACCAGTGTCCTACTGTATATACTGTACATTGCCTATAAAATAATAAATACTGTCCAATAAAATAAGAAGTACAGGAAGTAGGCCAATGCAGTCAAAAACAAACATGCAATTGTCATATCATAAGTTATATGACAGTTGCAAGTTATAATATAGGCTATTTCTAGGTATTATATTTCTTGGTAACTGTGTCATTTTCAGATGGCCTGAGCATTTTGGACAACCCAGCCCACTGAAAACATTTTGTGACCTTGGAGTGAAACGTTCTGAAAATCCTTTGTAGCCATTTTAGTTCAGATAAGGGTGTGGATGGAAATGTTAATGACAGGCTGGCCAAATCACTAGGCCTAGACTATTTGCATGTGTCATCACATCTGCCAGATTTATCATTCTGCTCCTGTCTCTTCGTGGTGATTAGGTTAAACACCAGCAGGTTATTACATTCTTGCGGATGAATAAATCAAAACTCTAATCGTTAAATATTTCCACTTAGATATTAATGTAGCCTTAGTGTTATTTTAACCAAACGTAAGCTGAAACTAGTGCGACCTGTAGCCCACTTCCGGTGTGTCCTCTTTTTCATAACGTTAAATGTTGTTTTTCATTATTATTATTAACATACGAGACAATACCGTCAGTGCTAGATTTTTGCTTACAAAGCTTTCATTTTGAAAATGCTAACCGGAAATCTCACGATATTTGCCCGTTGATTAGGTGGCTGCCACGTGCAGTTTAATGCTGCCTCTTTTCCACACACCTGTAACCCATACAGGACTATATTCTGCAGTTCATTATGTTCGTGTTTTTTCTGATATAGCAGCAGTGTCAGCAATCCAACTCACGCTTGTTTGTCTTTTTACACAGCTGCAGAAGTATGAATATTAACAACACTAGGTTTTTTCAACATAGCTACAGTAGGCTTACACTTTCATATTTTGATGAATTTTTTATTTAAAATATATGAGCACTGTATGCTAGGTGACAAAAGCCTCATAAGATGTTTCGTTTTCTGTTTTTCCCCTACCCTGTCCTACTCTATACCAAAGGGAGGGACTACGGTATGATACAGCGCCTAGCTTACGGAGAATACAATGCTCCTTTCTCGGAACGCGGTGCAACATTAGGCCAGTATTAGCCTGGACGTGTTTTATATTTTTGGCCGTGGTGTGGAATAGCTGAGTACCTATACGGAACTGTGGCTGCATTTGAAGTGACAGTAAGTATTTTGTTGAAGCCTAAGATGTATACTTCGCCCCTCAGTCTTACCTATCGCAGCGCTGCCAACTGAAGATAGTCCAGCTGCAGATTTCACCGAGGCTTCATAAAAATAGTTGGATACTATCTGTGATGCGTAAAAACAAAAAAGCATCGTTGTCACTTTCGTCGCATTTGTAGCATAGTTTTGTAGATGTTGGTGTGGTTTCTTTGTAGAATGCGGCACTGTAGGAAATCAGGGAATGGGTGGAGACGACAAAAGTTAGCTTTCAACATTTTAAACCTCCACCGCCATGTGCCCTTGACATCTGTGTTAAATGTCCTTACAGCTAAGCAATGTCGACTTGGTGTACGAAAGTGGCTCATCAGACAGATTCTGGTTCAAGTTAGAAACAAAACAGTCTTAATCTGATGGAGCAGTAGCCTACGCCATACTAATGTTAGGCCAATGTTACCCAAACCAAACTCTTGTCAACTCCCAGATCAGAGTAAATAAGTGCGTGTTTTGTTTTTCAAAATCTTAAAATATGTTACAAGGATAGCAATACGTCAAGATAACAGTGTTTAAAATGTGGTAAAGCGTTAACTCAGTCAGGAAGAATAGCTATTTTTAGACAAAGTTGTGAAGATTTGGGGAAATCCGATGGAGCAGGAGGGGCAAGCAGGGTTTGACTCATCACTATTGTTTTAGTCATGTATTTATGACAATTATTCACGTCTAGTCAAAAGCCTGGACTTTCTGGAGCTGGAGAGTTCTTTGTTTGTGTTGTAGTTAACTTTACATTATAGGCTAGATACTGTATCCCAAAGACATTGCCTACTTTATGAATATGTTTCATATACTGTAAATCAAAGTAGTTGCTGCCTTGATGACAGCTTTACACACTATTGGCAGTATCATAACCTGCTTTAGTCAGTGGTTTTCAGGCAGGCCTTGTCAAAGGTTAATTGATTGACTTAATTTGTTCTTAATGCACATGAGGCTGTCAGTAGCTGTCATAATATACTGCAGTGACACACCGTCCCATCTGGTTTGTGCTTAGTGGGACCATCATTTTTCAATAGAATAAGGACCCAAAATACACTTGCAGGTTTTGTGACAAGGAAGGAAAAGTGATGGGGTAGATCTCAAGTCTCTTATATGATCATTCCTTGCACATTTTACTATAAATCCACAATTTATAAAATAATACAGACAACGAAAAGATCATTCTGTCATTCCAATCGTTCCAGATTTTGCATATATGGTAGGTGCTCTGTATCTCTCGTGGCCTTGCAGGCACTGCTCCAGCGTTGTCTTTTTTGAGATGTTTAATGTGTGGTTTGGCTTTCAGTAACTGCACTCCATCGTGGTTTTGGTTGTAGAGATTGCTGAGTGGGTGTAGTGTAGTATTTCACAGGTAGAAAACCTGAGTAGTCAATATTGACAAAGGTTCACCCCAACAAGTCAAAAGCAAATAAATCTAGTCAAGTCAGCCCTGGACTTATCTGTCTTTAAGGGTGAATGTAAAGTATTCACTGTCTGCTGTGGTCTGAATGCAGAGATTGATTGCAGTTATGTTTGCTTAGTGACAAGTACAAGCTAGCTTTTTATCTGACAACAAAGGCTGAACAGAGGACAAAAAAAGCTACTCCCAGTGTTCATGGCACTCAGCAGACAGCAGGTATTGTTTTGCCAACATATCTGTCTCAACAAACAGTTGGAAGTGAATTTAAATGAGAGAGTTTAATGTCAGCCTGCATGCCTGAGTGGTCTAAAAAGATCTAGGCTAAAAGGTGGAAACAATAAAAAGGAAGCACGGAAAAAATGCAGAAATAACTGAAATTTTTTTTTATTAATGTTTAAGCAGATTTTATAGCAGTTAAACTGTGTTGTTTTTCTTGGGAATCACAGCAACATCTGGTCAAGATTATGTAAACTCAAAGGATTGTTCAGATATAACAGCCTCAAAATCCTTAAGCAGGAAAAATACATTAATTAAAATATTACATGAAGGAAATAACTGGAGAACAAAACATCATTCTTATTCTAGATTATTTTGCGGTTTATTTTTCACAGCAGAGATTCCGTAACAAGCCCACAGGTAATAACCTAAAAAATGAGCAGTGTTTTCATTAGTCAATCATTCTAGTGATTTATTGAGATGTAGATCAATATCATTCGTATTAAGAAAATATAAAGGTGAACCTGCTGTTGCTGAGTTACTGGCCGCTATATCAGCATAAATGTTCTTCTCCTGTCTGTTACGACTCTTCTTTTACGATTGGTGTAGAGTTATAAAACAAAATCAGTAAAGGATTATTGCTTTTCCATGAATTCATCTCATTAGTGTTATTCAGTGCTCATAATATTTTGCACAGCCAGTGGGATGTGCAGCACTTGGGGCCGATTTCCAAAGCAATATTGTGTTTTAATACCTAATACGTTGCTGAAATCCAAGATTGTTCTTTTTGTAAAAGCAAACATTTTTAATGAGCCAGATGATCCCAGAATGGCCGATGATTGTTTTAGTGCAGTCATCTATGACTTGTTCTATGTTTTATTACCACTTGTCATGTTTTTAGATTCCGCCAGTAATCTTGGGCTTGTACAGTACATGTACTCGTAAAATGTTCAGCATTACCTCTGCCTTTATCTATTTATTACCATTCAGGCTCTTGTGTATTTATTCCTGCATGAAGATCTTAATGCACAACACATTTTCTTAAGTGCACTATAAAGTTAATTTAATGTGTATTAGTGTATACATAATTATACTAGTTTTTAGCAACTGTGCAACATTGGTTGGCTGACATATTTGTGATTCTTTTTTCTTTACTAGATATTTTGTACAGTCCCAATGATGCAATTTGCAAAGTATTTTAATGAAAATGTTTCTAATCAGCTGGCTATTATTTCAAGTATTGCTTTGAAGCATCACATCAGTTTGCCTGCCTGCTGAGTCCATTCAGTTTTGCAGGTCATCTTCAGGATTTTGATGGGGTTCTTAGATGTTTCAGCCCCATTTCAGACTTTCTCTGTTCCCTTTACACTCACAAACATATATGACACACACACCCTCCCCACTTCCCCGCTGCTAAGTAAACATTCAGCCATTCAAAACATTTTTTCCACCCGCTTTACACACACACCCTTTTCTCGCAGTGGTTGCTGTGGCCTAGACTTCTCATATGTCATTGACCTGATGAATTATTTACAACACAAGACACCTTGCATGACTTTGTTTTTCAAACACTGTTTTTTAAACATCACACAAATTGTTGTTGACTGTGTGTTACCAAGTTAGTTGACGCCTCCTCCTGTGTGGTCCTGATAAGTCAGATTCATTTGCACTGTCCAATAAGTCTTCAGCTTCTTCAGAAATGTGAATGACATCTCCAGGTAGACATGTGTTAATACATCTGACATGTCTGGGTACATCACTATGAGTGCTGGAACGACATTGTTACCTTTACTTCTGCTGCTGCTTATAAAACTACTACTTACACTATGCTACTTGTAGTATAGCTAATGCAGCTGTTACTGCTGCTGCTACGTATGCACGTAAACATTTTTCTGTACTGGAATACTGAATCACTGAAAATACAGTGGACCTCAAAAGTGTGACCTCAGGCTTGTGGCTTTAAAATCTGAATCTGCTATATGAAAAGATTGTCTTGACTTTCACATTAATTTTCATCAGTAGTTTTCTCGTGGTTGCGTATTAGGGATGCTTAGTGGTGACAAGGTGCACAAACTCCAGAGTATAAATGTAGACTAAATCTCTCTTTTTTGTCTTTACAGCACGGCAGTTGGCGCTTGCAGTAGCTGTGTGATGGCCACTGCAGAGGATGTGACTGAGCCAGAGGCTCAGAGCTCAGCAGCGCAGGACCTCGGCAGAAGGCGCTTCTCACGCGACCTCCGCAATCTGAGTCCAGATGAAATAGATGGCCTCTTGTCCAGCGATGGTAGGAATAACTCTCCCTTTTTGTAAACATATTTAACTTGAAGTTTGAACTGCTCACAGAGCTACTCCAGTAACTGTATTGGAAGAATTTCATTAAAATGTTCTAATCTTCCATTTTATAGGGGGCCGCCCTTTCCTTGTGGTGCATCATGTTCCAGAAATAATGAAGGCTGATGCACCTTACTTTATGCCTGGTGTCCCTATTACATGCAAAGTGGACAACACAGAGAAATATACCACTCGCTCTAAGGTACTTTTGATTCTGTATGTAGCCTCATTTGCATTTTTTCTTTTGGTGGCTGATTAAAAATATACAAAGTGTTTATAGAAAACCTTAAATAAACTTGAAGTCAAGGCACACACATTCATCTTTAGCTAGTCATTAGCCTTTTATAGGCCTGCTTGTAACGAAGGTGTGGTCATCTTTAACATCTGTGTTATTTTCAAGTTTGGCTGAAAACAAATTGAATTTAAACTTGACCACACTTTACCATAACACCATTATAATATCCTATTTTTAAAGTAGTAAAACTGCAGAGGAAACTTTATTGCTAAACAAATGAGCCTGTTGTTTTTGTGTTTTAACAGTCAGGTGTCCCTTCAACTTTGTGCTTGTTGGACTGCTGCTTAGGTGTTTGAACATTGAGCAGTGTGTTTTGAGCCAGCGGGTGCAGCTGTTGTATTAGATTTTATTCAGATAGAGAGGTGGGCTGGGAATATTATGTAATAGTATATAGAGTTTGTTCTGTGTAGATACAGTGTTCATGGATCATGGATATTGCCTTACTTTATTGCTCGGCCTCTTGGTGCTATCAGAGGCCTTGATTAACAAACACTTGAGTTATCAAGTGGCCACGTTACAACTGTGACACACCCATATTTGCATCTCTTCTTGGATTTCCATGCTACATTTCTACATGGTACAGTATTTATAACAAAAAGCACAGGATATGTAATAGTATATTATCGAGATGAATCCAGAGAAGCACCACATGTGGATCTTATACAAAGTAACCAATAAAAAAACTGCAGACTGCTGAGTTAGATATGGTTGGCATTTGCATATATGCTTCGATTTGTCTCACTCAGTCTAAAATCAGGCCTGTAAGGTGAACTGAGCTTGTAAATATCCCAGTGTAACTGTATTTTAAACAGTCCAGGTTTTAACCATATGCACTAACATATGTAGAGTGTGTGAAGTGAAAATGAACATTATGTTACCCATGTTGAGGGTACATATCCATTAGATCAGGACCAGCTACATTCTGGTTCAACTTTAATTTGCTGTGCTTTGTGTAGTTTACAAAGCAGTGGACACCTATTATTGACACTTTGGATGCATTAACTCCACAATGAGTGGTGCAGAGGCAAACCTGTCTGACAGTCTAGCCTTGTGTGTTTTTTCCCTTTTGGATATTGAGATAAAGGTGTGGTTACAGGTGTTACCCAGATCTCAGCGACATTTGTCAGGAAAATATTGCCATAACTGATTAGAAGGAATG